ACTCAGCTGTGTAGCTGTTTCATAAATAAAGTTCCATCTGGCAATGCTATACATATATAATACGTGCTAACAAAGAATGCCATGGCATGATTTAAACAATTTGATTCTTTAATTGGATAAGCACAATAACACGCGTCTGTTAATGTTTCCTCTGATTTTCGTAAACAAAAAGTAAACAATACCGACAAAAATAAATATAAAATAAAGATTATTAGATATTCAAAGTATCATCATACGTCATGTACTAAAACTAAAAATCTGCTGTCGTCATGGTGAAGGATTTAGAAATAGAATTATTATGGTATGCATTAGTTTGAATGTGACACCAAGTCGCGATAAAACTTGATTTCAATATCATCTTAACTAACCTATAAGCAAGACTACTATCGATTTCGAATTTTGCTTAAGATTAATATGTTGCTCAAAAAATATAATACGAGGTAGGATTTTGAAATCTAATTCGATATTTCTACGTATAAACAATCAGCTATGTACTATGAATTCACTGGAAGCTTTAGGTCTGAGGAGGAATGGGTCCAAACTGTCGGTATGCTCGACTATTTCATTAGGTTGTCTTTTTCCCCGTATCAGATATCCTTCCTGGATTGGAATATCTCTTTATTTGATGACAATTGTGTGGTTTACAGAAGTACATGATATTATATATATAACTCTAGCTGTAAGTAGCTTTATCAGATGTGGCTGAAGGGGAAAAGTCGACTAAATATATATTTTGATTACTTATAGATGGGAAGTATCAATTCTTCGTTTCTCTTTGGAATGTTTCTATATTTTACACAGATCATCAATTTTGGGCATATTTTTTTCCAAAGGAAATCATTCATTGCTTAGAACTTACATGATGGCGTAATGGTAAACTTGATCGAAAAAAAACTAGAGAAAAATGTTATTTCTCTTAAAGATAAAATCAAACCACTGAAAAAGACTGGATAGACGTAAGTGAGTTTGAAATCTGATAATATAGACATATTTATACAGCTGTACTTGTTACTATTAAACATCACTTGTCTGACCTTATGTTGATTACGTCAACCGATTCTACTGTGTACCTATTTATTGTCGTTTGCCATGTCATGTAGCTCTAGTATAGATAAATCCCTAGGGCCTGTTGGTATGGATGAGATGGAGCAGATTTAATTAGGCATCCTATTTGTTTGTTCAGGATATTTTCTTAGCCAGTTCAATCGTGAAGTGACGTTAGATTGGGATCTGTTACAAACTTATCACCAAACTTATATAAACAATCGACAAGAGCTCAGACATGTTAACAAAATACAAATACAAATAACGTAAATTTTGTAACTAACAGCACAGTCCATCCTCCTTCCTGTAGTGATCACTGTCCTGTCAGTACTGACCTCACCTTCAAAACCTTAAAGAAACGTGCTTATAAGAAGACATTACATTAATAGTACTGACTTTGACGGAGCCAATGTCTATCTTAATTCGATCGACTGGGACTCTGAATTACGTGGGGATATTGAAAACATTAACTTTTTTCTTTCTGACAAAATATTGACTGCTTTAGATAAATTTGTTCACCACAAAATTGTACCAATTTGGCCTAACGATAAAAGTTGGATGACTAATGATATAAGACTAAAAAGAAGACAAAGAAATCGTCAGCATTCTAAAGCCCAAACATCCAATACCCCAGCCTCTTGGACCAAGTTTAGAACTATTCGGAATGAAGTAATTGCATTAATATGAGAGGCAAAAGAAGATATCTTTCAAAATTACAATCATCTTTAATAGACAAATCCATACCCCCGGGAAAATGGTGGCGTGTTGCAAAATATCAAAATCTGTAATGGATTTTAAAAATAAATGTGAAAATGACTCTCCTTTGGTTATTAATGGTAATCTCAAAATGCGCCCCATCGTTAAAGCTGAATCTTTTAACAATTATTTTGTATCAATATCAGAAACTGAAAAGACTGCTGACGATTTACCTACCGACTTTAACTGTCCAGGACACAGCTTCTCGACCTCTGACATCACAGAACAGGACATTATTGACCAACTTCACCAGCTTAATGCTAATAAACCTCAAGGAAAACCTCTATTCCTCCAAAATTTATTAAAGGAGTTTCTCAATCTTTAATTAGACCTCTTTTTCTAAATTTTAATAAATCTATCTCTACTGGTACTCTCCCTTCTGTATGGTAAAATGTCCATGTAACACCCGTGTACAAGTGCAAGGATTCAAAAAATAATCCATCCAATTATAGACCAATCTCTGTTACTCCTATTTTCAGTAAATTACCTGGAAAAATTGTTTTTAAATATTTAATTCAATTATCTCTCAAGTTTAGAATTATTTCTAAGAATCAATCAGGGTTTCTTCATGATGGCATGATGGTTTATTAAATTTGAATTAAAACAATATGGATTTTGTGGTAATATACTGAATTGGTTTTCACCGTACTTAATAGATAGGAGACAGAGAATGGTCATAAAGGGATTTAAATCTAACTGGAAATCTTTAAAGGCGGGGTACCACATGGGTCAGTTTTAGGGCCATACTTGTTTTTATTATACATAAATGATATAGGAGATAATTTATCATCTAATGTCAAGCTTTTTGCTGATGACACATCATTATATACATTAATAGAGGGTGACAGACAGGAGGCTGCTGTCAAACTTAATGAGGATCTACGCAAAATTACTATCTGGGCTAAAAAAAACCGGTTTCTCTCCTTTTTTCAAGACGGGCTGACTCTGGGACGTTGCATCCTGACCTTATTTTTAATAATGAAGTAATAAATAATGTCTCTAATCATAAACACCTTGGTTTGATTTTCAATGGCAATGCCAACTGGTCAACTCATATAAATTTTATTTATGAAAAAACTTATTCAAGACTTAATATTTTTAGAATGTTAAAATTAAAGATTGATAGGAAATCTCTTGAGAAAATTTATATTTCATTCGTTCACCAATCCTAGAGTATGCTGATATCGTATGGGCCAACTGTTCCCAGAGAGAGTGCGACGTCTTAGAGTCAAACTTGAAGCATTACGAATTATTTCTGGATTAAGGCGAGGCACTAGCCATGACATTTTATATAAATAGACTGGCTTGTTACACTTAGTCAGAGAAGACATTTACATCAAAATATTGCATTTTTGAATTTTTTAACAGTATTTGTCCATCTCGTGTATCAGACTTGCTACTTCCCTTTTTTAACAACGCTGTTAATTACAACTTTCGACATAACAGGTTATTTGATGTTCTATTATCAAGAACGCATTTATATGATTCTAGTTTTTTTCCAAAACTTATGTCGGAATGGAACGAGCCAGCCTGTCTGTTACCCACTATGACATCTCTTGGTGCACTAAAAAGGAATGTTTTAAACTCATCAGATATGGGTGCTTATCCAAAATGTAGTAACATTTTTAAATACCATGGTGATAGGAAAATTAATATAACATTATGTCAGTTATGAAATTTTGCAAGTAATCTAAAATCTCATTTATTCAATTCATATCTTAATGATAGCCCTGTTTGAACATGTGGTGCTCCTTTCGAAGATCGTGAATATTTTTTCCTGCACTGTCCTCTGTATACTAATTAAAGACGAAAATTATGTAACTCTTTGTTAGCGCTAAATGACTCTATTCCTCTCAATACTCAAACTTTCATTTATGGTTTTCAGCCTCAAGACCTATATATGAATATTAATATTATGAAGACGGTTCAGAAATACATCAGAGACACCAAACGATTTTTCTAGACCCTTAACTAGCTTAATTTTACAATAATTTGGATATTTAAAATGTCTTTTTGTCCATTGAAATTCACTGAAAAGTACAAATAATTTCCTGTCCAAACTCTATAATAATTCATGAAATTTCTGTATAAGTAATATTCATATGTAATGTGCTTGTATATACTATTATATTTTGTAAGGAGAGGGCTGATATAGGCTTTGCCTGTTGCCCAATTCCTTTTGTACATACGATCAGTACAATAAAGTATTCTGAAATAGAAAAAATGTTAACAAGTTTCGGATTCAAACTGAAAATCGACGAATTGAGGTCAAATATGAACAAAGGTCATATCTAAGCACAGACTTTTTATAAAGTTCTCGAAACATACTCCAGCTGTTCCGAAAGCGGAAGCATCTTCGACTTTATTGACGGTACCCGCTTTATACATATGGTAGAATCCAATATGTTTAGATAAAGCTGTCTAAATATAGGAGTCAGGACATCAACTGCATTCAGCCACGGGGTATTTCTCCATTTCCGAACATAGTACTTGGGGGTCCTAACAGAAAAAGAGGACGTTGAAAAAGTGTCATGATAGCTCACCTAACATAAAAGATGACGTTGACAAAGTGTTATGATATCTCACCTAACATAAAAGATGACGTTGACAAAGTGTTATGATATCTAACCTAACATAAAAGATGACGTTGACAAAGTGTTATGATATCTAACCTAACATAAAAGATGACGTTGACAAAGTGTTATGATATCTCACCTAACATAAAAGATGACGTTGACAATGTGTTATGATATCTAACCTAACATAAAAGATGACGTTGACAAAGTGTTGATATCTAACCTAACATAAAAGATGATTTTGACAAAGTGAAGTCTTTATTTGGTATAAAAGTACACTGAAGAACGCAACAATCAAACATTGTTTAAGACAGAATAAAATTCAAAGAGGTCTTTAGGTTATATATTTTATACAAAATGGTCCTGTCTGTCCACTCTTGGTTCAAATACAGAAATGTAAGGAGAGTGATTTTTCGTATCAAAATACATTTCCGCTTGTTGTTAGGGTATAAAACATGATGAATTATTTACGTCAGGATAGTACCAATGCTTTGGTAAATATGAGAATATGTATTACAAGATGAGGTATAAACAAAGACGTTTTTGTACACCAATATCGACCAGCATGCCTCTCGATAATATTGAAAACGAAAGTAAATTTTGTACATTTTTTCCAGAACGAAAATGCTATATATTAAGGCTGCTCTCATAGTAGCAGTCATCTGCTGTTTCAATGACATATCATCAGCAAGAGTAGCCAGTAAGGTGAAGCTCGACGTTCTGGAACAGGATCTGATCGAGGTTATTGTCAGGTATGCCAGGGATAAAGGGGAACAAGCTGTCAACGAGAAAAAACAACAGAAAAAGAATTTCTTTGAAACAGGTAATATTTACTCTCGTCTCAAAAAGTTCAACTATGTTCTTCATTCATTCTATGATTCGGAGATTTCAAAATTTTATTAAATATTTGTTTCGTTGACGTTTGTGCGCGAAAGATAAATTCGTCAAAGCTTTGAGAATAAACGTGGATAAATACAACCTGCATTGGTTTGTTCAGGCGTCGACAAGCACAACAAAGGTAATAGTGTGCGGCAATTACATCAGATGAAGATGTCGACTCCTGAGACACGGGAGAAAGAGGAATACGCTGTAAGATCTCTAGCTGCTGTTGAAGAACTCCAGCGACTGTGAGTACTGCAAAAACATGGCAATAGACTGTCATCATCAACATTATCATGTCGAAGATTATATCTTTTATTGGCTGGAAAGACATTTGTATTCGTCAGGAAAATATTAAATCAAATACCAACACTTAAGACTACATTTTATCGCATATTTTTGGGGTGTAATATGAGCCATTTTGACACCTAGCTCAAATGAAAATCCAAAAACCTGTTTCTTGAACAGAATTTGAAAAAAAAAACATGTAAGATCTTTTTGTACTTTTGTCAGTTAAAGATCAACACAAATGATCTGATTTGTCCATTAGGGTTTTGTGATAGGTGATTGCTACATATTACATGTATTGAACATATTAGAAATATTTCATAATATTACTTTTTATTGGATTAGCTGTGTCTTACTACGAATCCTGATGCGGGGTGTGAAAGGATTAAGGCTTGTGTCGTTGGTTTTGCTTTCAGAACAACTTCTATCACTTTGTTTAAAGAGGGTATTGTTTAAATAGGGTATTCATTTCGCTACTGTTCAGATGAGTGAAATAAAGTGGTCTAGTGTATCTGGTATTAGAATCTGTTCACAGATCTAAGAATTTGGTTTAAGTTCTTCAGGGTATGTTTTATTACACAGAACTGGACTGACCCTGGAAGAGATTCAGGGTTCCGAGAAAGTCGTTACGGAGTGGCGTAAGAATATCCCTTGCGCGAGCAAGCTTCAGCCGTCTGAATGCAAGTCAATGAGCCAACGGTACCGCACAATAAATGGTACATGTAATAACCTACAACACCCGGACTGGGGGTCTGCTGGTATCTCACAGAGACGCTATCTTCCTGCTAAGTACCAAAATGGTAAGTCATTTAATTGTAAACTTGAGTCACTCTATGAGGACCGAGATAGATAAGTCGGTAGAGCTTGAGGTTAATGAAATTTCAGTGGATGTGTGGTTCAATCGCTATGCGGAGGGGATAAAAGTTTCCTGCAGAGTTGTAACTGTGTTAGTGGCTTTGACATTTGGTAAGACATTTCACCACTATTATTATGGGTGGAATGCGACAAGCTTGTTGTTCAGTGACGTTACCGCAAGTTACTTCAAGATGACCTCGCCTCAAAGTGACATTGGTGGTTCACGACGCGATAAACACCCGGCAAATATAGGCTTTCAACATCATGTTTAAGAAAAAAAGATTGTGATATAGAATTTTTTTCCTTTGGTTTTTGCGTAGAATGATATACCCCTTGTTCAGTTAAGATGTGTTGAGCGTGAGCCAGTTAGTTTCACTTTTGATAAAAAGTGGCTAAACTGTATATTATGTATTCATTATGATCATCGATATAAAAACTTAGAAGCAAAAATCTTAATTTAATGCATTCGCAAACCTGCATAGAGACACTTTACCACATGTATTTTTTCTCCCCGAAAATATTCGGGGGTACATATAGTCACTTCATTGCTCTTCCGTCCGTACGTCCTTTTGTATCCGAGACATAACTTTGCCAACCGTCAAGCAAGGATAATGGAACTTGGCGTAAACACTTCTCGTACTTAGACGATGTGCAGTGTATGAAATGCAGGCTCGGCAACTGCTCCATTACAGAGTTATTCCTCTTTGTTCAAATTCTGTGCCCGTAGTATAGTTTTCTTTAATTTAAACCAGGAAAAAGAAACTTGTCGTACTAAGAGGGTGGGCATTGTATTAAATTCAGGGCCCGAAACCCGTTATTTACAGAGTGATTGTCATATTGTTGGGGAGCATTCATCAGTTTCACTGATATTCTTGCGTTTTCGAGCGTTTATTTCATATCGTGCAATCTGGATAAGAATTTTAATATGAATCTCTTTTCATCTAGTTATTTTGTTATGAGGATTAAAATTCCAGAAAATTAATGTACTATTTATTGTAGGAATCGGTTCACCTAGGAATGAAAGTCGTAACTTATTACTGCCCAGCGCTCGCCTTGTTAGCAACACTGTGTTTGCGGATGCAAGTACTCCGAAGCTGGACGGAAAGCTTTCGTTAATGGTGATGGCATGGGGACAGTTTTTAGATCATGACATCACACTCACACCCACTGCCTCAGGTAAATCAACTACGACTATCGACGTGGAAATGTGTGATAAGCATGTGATTATCCTGGCGGCAATGTTTATATTTAACTTGAAGCACACGAGAACAATATTTTTTTTATACATTTTCTCCTACCTTATATGACAGTGGGTCTATAATAATACAAAACAAGATGTTGACTTCTCCTTTTTCAACAGGTGAAGAAGGAACACAAATAGATTGCTGTGCCTCTACCGGTTCTGGAAGGTAAAAACTAGGTCATTGCATGATATTCTGCATGCTATATAAAACGTGTAATGATAATAAATTTATCAGGCTACCTATCCATCGACGACTGACAAACTGGTTCTCATAAAACAAGCTGGATCCAGTATTATAATTCCTTGTAAACTTCGACTTTTTGAAATGTTGGTGTCATTATGTTTACCATTTATTCAAAAGTGCTATTTTGTCAAGTTTGTCTCCTCTCTCTGGTGGCTGATTAGTTTGTTATCATTGCCTAGTTCTCACCATAACATTTTGTTTCCCACTTTACTTTACTACTTGGTACTTTTGCATCCCCATTTTAAACCTTCATTCTGGCTTTATTTGCCCAAGTGCCCTTTTTCATTCATTTCTAGTCAATCTTTTTGCAGATATGGAATTCATGTCCAGGAATCTCCCAGGTGAGGTAGCTCGAATACTTTGTTATTGGCCTGGTTTTTTGTTTTTGTTTTTTGTTTTTTGTTTTTTTGTTTTTTATTGTCGGCTTGGTTAAAGTTATTGATCGATATGGTGAATGAATTAACGGCGTATTAACATGCGTACATGTATCACTAAATCAACTATACTTATTTAAACAGTTCGTGGATTAAGATTTCCCGTGAAATCGACGAAAATCATTTCCCCACGAAAATTAAGGATTTTACAGTATAGCATTTCCTCCTATATTAATTAATTAATTGTTTGTTTGTTAGAAGTCAGTTTTCAAAGTTGAATTCCAATTGTTAGATTTCTAAACGTTTCCACTTTGGTGCATGTCATTAACATATCGACGTGACCGTAACTTCTACCGTGGGATTTTGAGATGCAGATTGATGAAGATTATGTCCTATGTGCATGGTCACTGTTATTGTGTTAGATATATGTTATACTGGTGAAATATCTAATTATATAATATTTTACAGCATAAGGGGAAATAACTCCATTGCGGTATTTGGTTGTTTTCGTTAATAGTTTGTACATAAATCCGGATAAGTTTACTGGGGCATAATTCAAAATCAGAATTCAGATTGAAGCTATATAAAATGGCGGCATCTTGATCTTAAAGGTCGTGTCTAACTTTTTATTTTAAGACATTATTTTACATCCGAAGTACACTTCAATTGTTAACGCAGTGCGATGTGTGCTTGTTTAAGAGCCAGACGGTTTCGTTGATTAATGTCTTTGGTTTAAATGGGAAGTGTCGCCAGTATGAGAAGCTTACTTTTCTTAAACTCCTTCTCTTATTCTCTTTTGCATTTTCCCAAATGTATTCATATAAATCTTTGTTTTACGACTTAATATCATAAATGCGTTATTTTTGCAGGTATTTGACCTCAATGATTTTCTTTTGAATGAAATATGTTTTCATACATTACTCCCTTTGTAATTTTGTCGGTTCAAGGGAACATGCCTGAATATGTTATTAGTTTTAAGTAGTGAAAATGGTGCAGTGATGCAGATGATTTAGGTATTTTAATTCATTTGCAATCCGAAAGAGTGACAGTAAAAATAGTTATTTAATTTGAATGTTTTTTTTCTTCTGTAATTGTAACAACCCGCTGTTGTATTTCATATTCGTTATCTTGTTTTACTCAGTCAATGACAGCAGCGAGCATGATATCTTTATATCATTGTGTTTGGGGATATACGATACATTTGGCTTTTCGGTCTTCCTATTTGCGATTTCGACTCAAAATAGAAAATTAAAAAAAATCACAATAATATCTGAGAACAAATGATCGTTTACTTATTTCCTGTATCAGCTCTCAGTTACGGACATTTTACTTTTAATGTGTTTTTTTCTTCATTTTCAGTTTTATGCCAGTTTAAAATGTTTATCAATTTTCTTTTCCCAATACCCGGTCTAGATTCCTTTAATAATGCCTCAATTCAACTCCCGACTTATCTTTTCAGCTGCAATTACAATCATGTATCAGATAAGATAATTAATGAATCGTCAAACTTGGAGAATACAAAGATCTCCCATCACAACGCCTCCCTTCATCCGTTCCCTTAAGGATATATGAAGGTCTGGTCTCCAATATTATATCGGGGATGATTATTTGTAACGTCAGAATATAAACCTAAAAAAAATTAAAATGTTGCTGCATTTCGTTTTTCTCAATATGAAATAATCACTTGCAGTGATCTTCAATTTTAGGTAAATAACAGAATTCTTTTTTCAAGAGATTTCTTTTTCTAACAAATTGTAATCGAATGATGCTGGATTAATACGAAAATGTAAACGTGATATCATCAATTGCGATTTTCATCTAAAAGAATATTTTCCTAGAACAGGAAACAAACTAAAATATTTACTGTCAGATCCTCATAATCAATTTAGTCTGAAGTAACATTTGTTTTTATCTTTTTTTTTTATCTCACAGAGACGACTGTTTTCCAATAGATATCCCTTCCAACGACAATCATTTTAAGACACAGTGTATGTCATTCGTAAGGTCGTTACCAGCCGCCGACTCCTGCGATCCAGGTTGGAGCCTCACACTTTCTCATTAAATACAGATTTCTGTTAACTCGTGCACCACATATCTAATTCTGTATATAATATACTGGTAGCGTTACTTATTGATTACTACTCTGTTAATTAAAATCCTGATTCAAGTTTTTTTATGGAATTATTTAAGTGTATCATATTTACGAGTATAAGAATACAATATGATTATTTTGTTATTACAGCCAGACGAGAACAGGCCAATGCCATAACGGCCTTTGTGGACGGGTCCAATGTTTACGGGTCGTCCACAGCAGAAGTTGCATCTCTGAGGGCATTTACAAAAGGTAAAACTAGTGTCTTCCACGGATTTTTTAGGTTATAGAATCGGGATTAACGCCATATAGTAAAACACACGCCGTGGTCGATTTACACAAAGCTGAAATCTTATGAGAAGTTCCAGAAGCTCCAGAAAATACTAAACAGTTAACTAATGCTTAAAATCTTGGGTACATCTTTGCATCGCCCCGCCCCTCCTCCTTTTCTAAATAGTCACAGCACATTGCAGAGGTTGTTACTTTTTCCTCAGTTACCTCCTAGTTTTCAGAATTAAGGCCCTTTGCATCAGTGGCGATTTCTAGAAGAATGTAAACCGCATGTATGATATAGTATATTTCATTACTGGACCTTTATATCTTCACATCTTTGTTGTAATTCCCATTCAATATATAGAGTATCAATTATGGGACCAGTGCACTTCCCCATCTAGATTGTGACATTTCTTCCGATCTCTTTGAATTTTTCTCCGTCGACCTCTCGATTTCAGAATTCAAACTTTATCGTCACCGACCATTCCTAGGTCGACGAATAGCTTGGTGATGCAACTTAATTAGATATTTGGCTATACCGTACCTATTTCTAAATTCGTATTAAAAAGCGCTATTTACTTTTGCCTTTTGTACAATCTTTAAGACCTTCCTGTCAACACAAAGTGAACTCTAATCTATCGGGGTTTGCGATTTGTTTCAGGACTGTTGTTGTCCTCTCCTGGTAACCTACCACCAAACGGAAGTGACGATTCCTGTATTATATCAGAACCTGGCGATTTTTGTATGAGAACCGGTAAGTCTACATTCAAATACACACATTACGCTTAAACTGTTACCACTGTCAAGTACACTATTCAATGTGAAAACCAGGTGATGAACATGTATTAATGAAACAAGTAAAGGAAATTAAATGGAAAAAGAAAAAAAAACAGAATATACATAACTTCGTATTTCAATGTAAAACGATTTAGGAGATTCCGTGTTAATATTTTGTTTATAGTTTGCTCTCACTTCTTCCATTTGGAGTGTGATCCTCGACATTCCAGTATTATTTTTTTCTGATTTTGGAGTGTCCAGACTTACATTCATAATGAATATTTTCAAACAATTCGTATTTGCAAAATTTTAAGCGATGAGCAGGTGAATAAAAAGAAAATTTATTCAACAATTCAGCGAATTACAGTCCCATACCGACACACCACTTTAGAGTAGTGTAGCAGAAATTATGCACAAATTTTCTTAGATGCGGATCAAAACGCACGACAGCGTGACCTACTTTTGATACATGACACACCACTTCATCAGGATGACCCCAAGTATGAATTTCTATTGAGGAGTAGTGTAGGACATAGATGCATCATGACACACTGCCTCACCAGTGACAAATAGTGTAGGAGATAGAACCCGGACAAGGTAGAGGAAGGACGGAAGAAAGGGACGGACGCACGGAATGACGAACGGACACAACGCATTACTATAGTCCCTTTGTTCCCGATGGGGAACTGATTGGCCGAAAAAGGAAAGAATCCTGACAGATAATTTCTATGAGTAACAAATATATATTCAACACGTTATCTTGTGATGCGGCAAATTTGATGCATATAGAATATATCTATCATGGGCCAAATACGCTGCTACAAATTAACTATAAAATACCTGTTTATCCAACAGGAGACGTCCGAGCTAACGTCGTTCCACATCTTGGTGCCAATCACGTGTTATTCTTCCGGGAACATAATCGGATAGCCCAAGAATTGTCTACCCTGAATCCGACATGGGATGACCAGCAGACTTTTGAAGAAACACGTAAAATTGTATCAGCCCTTCTCCAGCAGATCACATACTACGAATGGTTACCAAGCATCCTGGCACCAGAATTCCTTACTTCCTACAACTTGACACGATCGGAAGGCGATCCTTACAACTCAAGTGTTGACCCATCCATAAAAAACTCGTTTGCCGTGGCGGCCATGAGGCACGGACATTCGCAGGTGAGCGGATTCCAAGCATTTCTGCTCCATGATTACATGACATACAAGGTGAAATCCATACAGGACACATTCCTAAAGCCTACCATGGTCGTCGGCAACGCCGGAAATGACGTTCCTCAGCTTGCACGATGGATATGCTCAAATGAATCAATGAAACGGGACAGGTAAGTCACCACGCAATTCATCCCATTGTCTTAATTCTGATTAAATCCTTTCGTTCCATCTTTATGTTATTCTAAGTTTACCAACGCCAACACATACTGTCATAATGGGTGATTGACATTTTCCAATATTTAATATCGTAAGTTTAAAATTAGAGATTACATAACCTCATTGCAGTAATATCACTAATTGGTATTGACAAGTAAAGCAAAGTACATGTGAACCTGTTGTCAATTGGTGATGAAACAACCGCATTTTTTATCAGCCTTTCATACATTATTTAGAACTGCGTGTTATCATTTATGATACGTCAACAGTACAATATTGAATTTGTAGGATTTTGGAACCAGGTGTGCGTGATCTGCTTTTCCTTGATTCTAACGGCCATAGCTTTGACCTTGGTGCACTCAACATCCAAAGAGGGCGAGATCATGGAATACCATCATACACCAAGTGGCGCGAATGGATTGGTGCGCCTAAAGCAACATCGTTTAAGCAGCTGACAGATCATTCTAAACGGGAAAAACGTTTATTGGAAAAAGTATACGAGTGAGTGTTTTCTACCCCTTGAAAATTACTCTTGGGAATGTTTCCGCAACATACGACATATCTTCAGCGATTGGTGAGGCATTTGATTGTATCATTTACTCATTCCGATAGATAATTCAGAAAATTATGGCATGTTGCCAAAGTTAGATTATTGTTTCCTCCAAAGACAAACGGGACATATTTCACATCTATTTGCCAGCTCATGTTTACATATCATGTGTTTTACTCTCCACAGCCATGTTGATGACATCGACCTGTTCGCCGGTGGGATCTCTGAAAACGATGTAAAAGGTGGTCATCTTGGACGTGTTTTCAGCCATATCCTGGCACGCCAGTTTTCGGAGTTGAAAGCAGGGGACAGATTTTTCTACGAAAGACCAACGAAAGAAGGATTTTCAAAGAGTAATCATGTTCTTGTTTGTCTATTTTTTTTTATCTGATCTTACACTTTCAAGTTAGTTTTAATCAACGTAATCTTGAAAAAAAAATACATAGAAAGGTCAATAATCGTTTGGTTGAATGGATACAGAGTAATATATATGGACTCTTAGACCTCTCCTCCCTTTAATTGAACACAATTACATATCTTTGTCTCATTTAATACTTTCCAAATTTTCTAATGTTTTATGACATCATATGTATTAAAACGACACCTTTCATACCAAATGATATATCTTTGTTGAAATTATGTTGTCCATTCTTTTATATCCTTCCTCCAAAATATTTCAAATTAAAATGGAATTGTGAAACTTCAGTTTTATTTAACAGGATAAATTCGAAATTGTTTCTATTTCAGGACAACTAGACGAAATCAGAAAAGTTAAACTGTCCAAAGTCATGTGTGAAAACTTTGGACTTGATTTGATTCCAGAAAACGTCTTCAAAATGCTTTCAAAGTAAGGACAGTATTTGCAGTTTGTTTGTAGCGAACATTGAAAATAATTTTGTATTAGTTACATGTCATTTGTTTACAGGTAAAATGAATCATTCATATATCTACTTGAGTGTATTTTGTTTACATGTGCAGAACGAAATAACCACTCATCAGTTCGAGTCGTCTATCGTTCATGCTTACACTAGAATATCACCTCTCAGAATAAACATACGTACTGAACTTTGTTCTAAAATTTATTGAAGGCTAATCTCATCTAGATTTTGACTTTTCTTTTGATCACATTGAATTTTTTTTAAATTGTGTACAATTCTTGCGTCCGCGTACAGTAGAAATCACTCATCTCTTTAAGTAGTCAATTGTTGACGATAACACTTTAAGAAGTCTTTTAATAGTCTATCATTGGCTCTGTGTATAATTCGAATGTATATTCCTAATTTATAGATAAATTACATTAAATTCAACTTCTTTGGCAGTTTTGAGTTATACACACATAAACATGATATAGAAAGCTTATATATACGTCGATAGAGGACTTTAGATATTGAAGCCATTCTTTAACATACTGATAAATAGCTATAGTTATGTAATACACAAGACTGTCTTGTTTTTCCAGTGGAAAGACTCTGAAGACATGCGATTCTCTACCTGGAATGGATCTGTCAAAGTGGATCCCTAAAAGTAACAGAGATGAAGATGGTGGAAAAAGTAATTGAAGATAATGGTGATGGAGAAGAAATAGAAAATATGACGAAAGAAAAGGTAGCGGGAGTATAAGGTAGTGGGACAGAAATGGAAGAGAAGGTGCCAGATGTTGCAGATTACCACGGTCAAACAAATTATGCTTTGTTTTTTTAACCTCTCGTGTTATTTACCGTTTTGAGATTCTTACAAATCCGAGAGATGACGTTTTGATAAATTCCCTACTTTTAAGTTATTGAAAGTGTGAGTTATGGTATTTTTAATCACTGACGATCTTGCTTACACCCTGCTTACATAAAGAAATGATGAGATCCATTTTATCTGATGTCACACTGTATCTCCATAGGCTTGTATTGTCATTACCGGTACACTTGTGTTATTTGCTACTGCTCTAATTCAAAGGTGGAAATTGATATTATTTTCATTGTTAAGTATAGGTTAGTGTCAAGATCGTTAGATATCCGTCTGTCACACATGTATCGGTGTAAAAGTCCAATATTTAGTCGTACTAGTGTTGAATCTTTGAGTGGAACTTCCTTGATTAAGACATGACTATACATTTCGGTCATTGTTACGTTTTAGTTCCAACCCTGTCGGAACCATAGCTCCGCAGAATCTATGTAAAACCATGTACAGTTGTGTGTAACTGATATGTTGTTTCTGAAAGATAGCATGGTTTTCATTAAATATTATCTATTTTATATCAAACACAGTTTTAAAGACTTTTCCATTTTTACGAGTCAAGGGTAAATATTTGTAACTACTGGCAAATGAGAATAAAAACGGTGTTTAATATACATTGTATATACTAGTAGTTATTTTTACATCGTCATATTAACCTTGGAACAAGAATTCCGTGATTTTTTTGTTTTTGTTTTGTGATTGTAATGCTGGCCATTTCCTGAATATCTACAATATATAATAAATAAATAAATATCAAACATTTTATTTTAGTTTTTTCTTCTACAGGATTTTTTATTGAACGAGACTGTGTACATTACTTGTGTTAATTAAAGGATGGTCAAGAAAGTATTTATTTTTAATTTCCATTCAGTTAAAAATAGAGAGGTAATACTGCAGTTTCGACAATGTTGACGTTGCCACAGGAAAAGTAACACAAAAATGAGATTTTTCGCGACCTTTGTCGCACGCGAGCAATAAATAATTTACGTATATGAGACTAGCAGATTATGACAATCAGAAGGCAAAGAATGATGTGTGGAAGAATGTTTAACTGTTTACTTTGTACACATATCTATTCGAAGTAGATGGGGAAATGAAAGTGAACACCAAAATCAACAGGGAATCAATTCCTTGTATAAAATAGAAGAGATGGAACGGATAACGGTAGAGCTTGGAATGGAATCCATGGTAAACGGCATCACAGCAAAACAGAAAACTTTACAAAATAACTGTATCAGATTTAAACATATACTGACTATTGATGATTAACGTTAAATGGATGTAAACACTAGTCTTGTTTTGTGTAAGTTTTACTGTTGTTGTAAGAGGTGCGCTAGTTTAATAAACACAAAACTCATTTACTAGAAAGCAAAAAATGTTTATTTGAACATCAGAAGAGAACAAGTTGATCGCTGTACATATGTTATAGGAAAATAAATTATTCTCTGTCAGACAGAAAAGTCAGTTTTCACTCAGGAATACATATTTAGACCTTGTGCAATCAATCCTGACTCGGTGATAAAATGGTAAAACCGGATTATATAATATGAAAAAGATCAAAAGCATATCAATGTGTAAAGAAAGGTGGAAAAGGAACAATAGGGAATATATATATATATATAAATGTAGACAATTGTAAACAGTATCACAGCCGGATGAGCAATACTAACAACAAGACAAATACGTTGTGGATACAGCACCTGTGTTCGTTACATCATCCTAGTCCTTATAGCCTAAACTCTAACGATCGCGTTTATATAAAGTCGGTAAATTCTCTGCCACCTAGAAGTTACCCCACATTGACATCGGATCATTGTAAACCCTATCATGTTACAAAAACAATCTTATAAAAGTAAATGGTTAGAAAAGATTTAAGTATGGAGGTAACCATTAGCTTTCATTGATAGATGAACTGAATGTTCATAGGGATCCGATCTTTTACACTTCAACATTGTGTATATATTTATTATAGACAAATACATCAAATGTAACGAAAAAATAACACAACTTATTAATACTGTTTCAGATCAGTGGTGACATTGCACTGAAATGGGTACAACATTCTATGATAAAAAATTAGACATCACTAACATCCTCTGAGCAGCCCTACCCCAATATATCTAATAACAGATAACATAGAGTTATCCTGTTCCAACACAAAACCTAGGCATACAATGAGATGTTGTCAATGTCCAATAACAACAGTTTTAGATTTTAAATGTTGAGAAATTTCAACTTCTGAAAGCATTTTGATTCTCATATCGACACATACTTTTATGTTTTTTTTTTTTATATTTTCTATCGTAAATCCTTGCAGATGTGAAAGACACTCAAACATCATATTAGAAAAATTCTTTTGTCCTTTTTAAAAGAATTTTATCACACTTTAACTTTAACTGGGATTGTAATTTACCTTAAGAATGGTAAATTAATTCTTTTGAAATTAGATACAAAACTAGTGTCATAACAGAAAACAAATATCAAATTAGGTCACATAGAAGAGTTAAGTACAGAAATAAAAACCTATATTTAGGCCACAGATTTATTAGTGGCGATGATCTCCTCTAATTTGTTAATCTGATTGAACGGATTACATGGTGGAACAGTGGTGACCATTCTGGACATCTTGGAGTCTTTCTTGTGTTCAGACTTGTTCGGGGAGATCGGTAACGACCTGTAAATACAAATGTAATCAATGAGGCAAAAATACTTATACAGCTACAGTTAATGGTATGTTGTTTCTCTTTCATCTGATAACACACTCTTAGCATCAATGACACGTCCAAAAAGGATGATATAGCTGCCAGAAGCAGTTTAATTCATTGTTTTACCCTATTCCATCTAAGTTTAAATTAGAAAATTAACTTGCTTCCCTTAAGTATAATTCTTTGGGAGTATAAAATTTGATTAGCACATCTCTACAGAACCTTATTTACAGTATAAGAAATATGTACCTTGACCTACTTATCTGGTACGTATGGCTGAAAAGGTATTTGGTGACAGTAGTGGAAATATGTAATTTGACCTACTAATTTGATAAGTATGGCTGTGAAGATGTTCAGTGATAGTAAAAATCGGTAACTTTACCTATATCTATATATTTGATAAGTATGATTGTAAATCTGTTAACTTACTTGTGTGTGATAGCAGTGGTAGCCTGTGACTTTTGATGAGCTGGGGCATACACACCCCTCCATAGTGTACAACCTTTGTATCCAGGAATATTAGGTCGACTGTCAACAGAGATTAATCATCATTATCGGATTGACAAGACTAGAAAATATCAATATTATCTTATATTATTGCAAAAGTCATGAGAGGTCAGTTTTTTGTCCAGGTGTCTAATGTTAATACTGATGTCTACTTACTGTCCTGTTTCACTGTAGCGAGGAATAAGGACTCTCTTCACAGTATAAGGGTCAAACGGTTCTTGAGCATTGTCTATTTCATCTAAGTTTTCTGCTCCTATGGAGCCACTGAAAACAAAGAATATAATTTATGTGGTAGCCTTAGGCAAGCTGATTAAATTAGAACATCAACATAAAACAAGGCAAACAGGAATTCAACAAACAATAGAGAAATGAAGGGAGCCAAGAGAGGAACAGGGAGGCATTTATGTATAGCATCCATTAACAAGGAAAATAGTCAGAATTTTCAAAACAAGATTTTCACAATGTGGAGGACTTTCAGGGAGCATGTAGAACTAAGGTAATGTCAAGTGTCATGACACAGTATTTAAACAAAGCAACATTAGGTGGGATGGAAGTGGATTGGTTAGGGTTCTAAGCATGCCAAACTTAAGGATTGCCAAGAGGGAATCGCAAAATAACCAGAGGAGCCAAGTTTTAACATATCATCTGAAAGGGACATCACAACTCAAACTCTGAGCAAGATTACACAATTGGGAAATTGGAACACAGTATTTACTGAAGGAGACAATGATTGGAGGGTACTTAACACAAACAGATGTGGATAAAGACCTACAGAAGGATCACTGCTGATACTAATCTGGGGATAATTTGTTTTCTATAACATTCATCAATAACCAATAATCTATAACATTCACCAATAACCAATAATCTATAACATTTATCAATAACCAATAATCTATAACATTTATCAATAACCAATAATCTATAACATTCACCAATAACCAATAATCTATAACATTTATCAATAACCAATAATCTATAACATTCACCAATAACCAATAATCTATAACATTCACCAATAACCAATAATCTATAACATTTATCAATAACCAATAATCTATAACATTCACCAATAATCAATAATCTATAACATTCACCAATAATCAATAATCTATAACATTCACCAATAATCAATAATCTATAACATTCACCAATAATCAATAATCTATAACATTCACCAATAATCAATAATCTATAACATTCCCCAATAATCAATAATCTATAACATTCACCAATAATCAATAATCTATAACATTTATCAATAACCAATAATCTATAACATTCACCAATAACCAATAATCTATAACATTTATCAATAACCAATAATCTATAACATTCACCAATAACCAATAATCTATAACATTTATCAATAACCAATAATCTATAACATTTATCAATAACCAATAATCTATAACATTTATCAATAACCAATAATCTATAACATTCACCAATAACCAATAATCTATAACATTCACCAATAATCAATAATCTATAACATTTATCGATAAGAATTTTTACACAGGCGTAAATACTTACCCATAACTGGGGATCTGTTGAGCACGAGGGTTAGAACTACAGCTGTAAGTGTAAAAAGTACAAACCTTCATACACAATTTACCATTATACATCAATTAATTTTTCATATCCTATATTTTTATCTTGAAGACATCTTCAGCCTCTTCTCTGACAGTTATTTACTCTTTGTTATGGTTAACTTGACTAATTAAAAAAGTATAAAGATGCCTGACTTCCGGTTATTTAAATACAATAAACAAGATTTTCAACAGCTATTTAAAAGTCAGCAAAACATTTTTTATTATCATAGAATTACCAAAATTCTCTGGCAATATTCTTGAAAATGAGAGATGATATGATTCATGATTATCCTGAACTTAATATCTAATTCTCAAGATTTTGGAAATGGAACAAAACTCCTACAACATACAAAATAAAATGTAAAACCGTATTTTTGCCATTTATTAACACTTCAATCAAATTAATAACAAAAAGAAGAGGGGATTAAAAAAAATAAAACAACTTTGGTTGATCATTTTGAAATTGAAATAGTCCAAAACATGTTATTGAATGTCTCTAAGTCAAATTTCTGATAAATTTATTACTTAAAATAAACCTGGACACTTACAAGACTATAGGTTGATCCTTGTAATAGCCACGCCTCTTTTGGAACCAGTCCCAGGAACGTCCTGTACTCTGTAAAAAGATGAAGCTGACAATGATTAACCTATTCTATTAATTGTCCTTAATGACTATAAAGGGTAATGCCAGTTCCTTTCTATAAATTAATTAGATATAGATTAATACACAGTACTAAGAAACCTTAGGTTATAATAAACACCTAAATAAAATATCACATAATATGAAACATCAAAAGTAAAATGACCAGGAATTTATCTTTTACAACTTAAATCACACAAGAGGATATGGCGAATCTACATCTTTATTACTCTTAAAGGAACATATAAGACTAAAGCATATCACAATTCTTAGAAAACTTAAGATACATTATTATAGAACAAGTAGTATAGCAGCTTGAAAGATTTTTCAGGGATTCAAGAGTGATTTAAGTAAAATAGAAATACATTGATCAGTGATTAAAGACCAGTTAGGACAAGCATATAAAACAAACTTACCTGCCATTCCTCAGCTGCAGGGTCATATCGTTTGAGCGTGTAGGTTTGTGATATCATATCTGGCCTTTCTTCCAATGTTGAGACAGGTGCCCATTGTTTTGGATGAAGCATATTGTCCCATGGGACCTCCTCAAATGACCTTCAAAACAAAAACCATACTGGTTTAATTGAAGAAAAAAACAAAATCTATTACATTTTATCACATTGTCTTCTAAAGAAATATATATGCAATAAATTTAAAACTGTTAGAAATATTTTTAATTTTTCCAGTCTATATGAAGGTTATATTATAATCAAATTTTTGTTTATATCATCAGTGGTATCAATCTTATTAACCTGATAATCATTATATGGGGTAATTAATAATTTGCTAACATGTATGTCAGATAAATTAAAATAATTAACACAAAACACTTTATAATGAGGGAGTAAGTATATAAACACTGTAGGGAACATAAGTACTGTATGATACCTGAGATATGTTGTCAAAGCATTATATAAAGGTATGGGAATTACCTGTAGGTGTGCTATTGTTATCTTTATCTACAGAAAGACATACTTACTTTTGTGTGGATGTGCCATATTTATATTTCATGGCTAGATGGTCCCTCCCATCACGGCTCTGTTCTGAGGGAGGCTTCGGCACAAAAGCAGACTGCAATTCATAAATATTCATGATGAAAATAATAATGATAATTTCAAGTGGTGTAGAAGAAATTTGCAGTTAAAGAGATGAAATGTCAAATGGTTCTGAATCTGGAAGATGAAAAGAAAGAGTTTTCTCAAATGGAACAAACCATGTATTACTGAAACATCAGGCTAAAGATGGCTCCCTTCTGTTTGTGGTTTTTGGTGTCTTTTACTATGAATAAACCTTTACATGTGATTAGTCTGGCACCATTGTTGGCCACACAATTAATTGAGAGATTAAATAGAATACAACCAATGATGATGATATTTTTATTAATTGGGTTGACATTCTTATTTGATATTTGCTAACTTGATAACTTCAGGGAAAGAATTTTTTTCCAGAACCAAGTATTAAAGTGCCAAGTGTGAAACAGAATCACATATACACCTCAGGTACATCAAAATTATTATAGAAAATTGGCGTAAGTTTTACACAGGGAAATAAAAAATTAAAACTCAACATATTTTACGTGAGGCGTGACAGTACAATTGTTCTGTATTTGTACAGAATTAGTTCAATTTTTAATTAGTGTCTCATTTTGATTAATGACAAACTTTTGGTAACATTTGATTTGACTAAGGTTAGATTACTGCAGGGTAAACAGTGTATTTTGTACATGTACAGTCATTTACAGTGATGCAGTTGAACATTAAGACCACAATTTCAGAAAAAAAACATGAATTATTGAGATGCTACATAGATAAAAAAATCATTTCCAACATGTAGATTTAGGTGGCGTATTCTTAATGAGTAAATGACTGGTGAGTGATGCTGATGATTTGAGAACACTTTTATGATAAAAAACCCCTGATCAATTCAAAAATATATATATATGTATAAAATGACAATGTTTTAACTCTATATACCAATGTAGCCTGTGATCTGACACAAATATAATGTAATTCTTAGGACATCGGATAACTCAATATTCCAGGACATAATACGTTATCTGGTCAATAAATGATTCATTTTGTAACAGAATTCTTATATATAATTCATATCTATAAAGATTATCATCATTTCTGAAATTAAGGTCTTTTTTCAACTTTGAACAAACATGTGACATGACCACTGCACACCAGTCTACCTCTGGTATACTGTCAAGAGGACCACGTTCCTTAGGGATTGGAGGCACAATGCAGAACTGTAAACATCCCAACATATACTAGTAATGTCCTAACTCTTAAAAATGTCATGATTATTGAAATGTCCCATCTCTTATCAGTGTCATGATTATTAAAATGTTACATTTCTTATTAGTGCCATGATTGTCAAAAAGTCCCATCTAGTGTCATGAAAAATATCAAAACAGTACCATCTCTTAAAATCATGGGAAAAGTCCCTTCTTTTAATGATGTGATGTATTATACAAAAAAAAAGTCCCATCTTATAATGATGTGAAGAATTATATGAAAAAAAATCCCATCTTTAAATGATGTTATGGATTAAATAAAAGAAAGTCCCACCTTTAATGATGTGAAGTATTAAACAAAACAGTCTCCTCTTTAATGATGTGATCAATTACACCAAAAAGTTCCATCTTTAAAGATGTGATGATTTTAATAAAAAATACCATCTTGTTATAACAAACTTGATCATATAGGATACTTTCTATGTGTGATTTACCTGATGACTGCTATCTGTGTGCATATCAAATCCTACATGTTACTGATGCTGTCATGGATAGTGTATTACAGGTCTCAATTAAACTTTATACTGTCTATTCAGATGTTTGTTTAAACTTAGAGAAATGTCTTATATACCAATGAGTATAAGCCAATAGACTTCTCCCTTTTTGTCGGTAACCAACATTAGTCTTATCTCAAATTATTTCAGAGGTAACTGTACAACAGCTTCTTCCTTTATGATTTCTTTAACATGTTTTGAATACTTATATTGGAAATTGCTTTTCTTCTTAATACTTAATACTTTAAGCATCCAAATTAAAAATAATACATAAAAAATCAGTCATGTTGTATGTGATATCTCTAAAAACTTTAAGAACCAACAGTTCAAGCCAGGGACAATAATTCCACCATCATTTTTTTCTGCATGTATGGAGCAGAGATGAACTAACCTTTGACCTCCACTTGCTCATTTCAGGGGCAGGCTGTCTGGGGTCATAATCACTAGTCCAACCTGCAACAAATTCAAGGATTTTTTTCATGTAAGTAAGTCAAAGTGCTTCATCATACAACCTTTTTCTGATACAAACAATACAGTTCTCTGAATTTTGAAACCAGTAGATTTTCCTCTAAACTAAAACTTTCATTTCCCTTTACATATGATGGCCTATCTTTCTCCGCACTCCAAATATGTTAAACTTCACAGTTCAGTATATTAATGGAAGTTGTTGTCTGGACCCTGGATAAGAAACATTTTTTTATTCATATATCTTTCAAATTTTGTTAAAGTTTGTCAATATAGAAACATGTAAAATGACAAAGGTGTCTGCAATTGTCAGTCTACCTACATGTTTAACTCAAGCACTGTGAATTGGAAACATGAATCCCTTAAGACATAAAGCAAGCTTATCTTATTCCACAGCAGTCACTCACCTACCTATAGTCATCTGGTTATCAGCCTTCAAAACCAAGGGTGATAAAATGTTTTAAAGGGTTGTCAAAGAAAATACTGTAACCTTACAACCAGTTCTATTGTGTAGCTATCAATGTAACTTTATACAATTATGGTTTCTATAGTATGTTTGAACATCATTTTGACAATATTAAATTCAGAAACTGATTTTTTAAATTTCAAATTCCAGTCAATATTTAAGAAATTTAAAGTGATTCTAATATGTAATATTTTAAGCATGTCACACTAAGGTCAATATCAGGTTGACCTGACAAATTCAGGCATACTGGCAACTCTTGCACAGGAAATTTTGCTAATGGATGTTTCATTTATTACAGCCATTAGTATTTAAAGCTGTAAATTCCTGATATAATTCAATAGTGCTTGAGAAGATATAAATGTCATATTAGAATTTATGATTTATTTGAACTACCATGTGAGAACAGTCCTTCACTCCTTTAATATAAGTGAAATCATAAAGCTATAAAAATCCATACTTAAAGATTTCAGACTAAAGATGCTTTAAGACCGTGAAGAAGCTGGCCATTATTTATTTATTTTCCTGGAGAAGAAATAAAAGAAAGAATTAATCAGCTGTTTTTTTTATTCAGTTAACAAATTCTTGGATAGCTGAGTTTTCATCTCAGCAATAAAAAGATGGTCCCCACCTTCCTCAATCTCCCTCCTCTATTTCTGGACTCATAGCTTGAACAAAAGACTGGTGGTCCAAGTTACACAATGGAAATACTACTATATGCAAACTACAGTCAAGTGGTTATCTCCCTTTCCCCTCTTGTACTTTCCTTTAGTTTAGCTAGGGAAAACTATATGTTAATCCCATTTTAAAGTGAGAAGTTATACTTCCCATTGACTCCCCATCCCCCTTTCGATTATAATTTTATAGCCTACAGTTTATATGTACAAAAATGTTCAGAATTCAGAAGTGTTAGCAACATTGGCAAAAAATATACTTGGTATATATGTACTAGGGAGCCCTCACTGTGAAAGTCCCCTTTGTTATGTCTGTGTCAACAGAATACAACTGAATAATGTTAAGACAAACATCAAGCAATATCATGAAAGTGTGTGTTTGGTTTCAGGTGACAGAAATTTCCACAATATATGGGGCAGAGTTAATGATTAGGTTTCATGTAATTTCTTACTGACAATGGTCAGGGATAAACATGAGTGTTTATAGGATAGATGTCTAGTAATGACGTAGGGCCTGGTGATTAAATCTGGCTGTTAGGTGGTGGAATTATAAACAGCCTATAATTCAGGTTTATAGCTGTAAATACACAAGTGGATAAAGATTGAATATTCACTGGTATACTCAGGTATATATTGAACTAAATGGTAATGAAATTAAAAGATTTTTTTTGTTGTAATATAATCCTATGTGCACTATGGTGAAAAGAAGTGAAATGATAAGCCAATCAGAAACAGTGAAATCAGGTTGAATATGGGGTCTTCCCTATGTACTGCAGCAGGCCAATACTTAACAGTGATGAGGGGGCCTATAAACTCTTGCACATTTATAACCTGGTTTTAAACCATGCATACCCAAATTGACTTTCCTGAGATAGTACAATGTTATCACTTTAAGCTTGGAATATTACTAATTACACATGTGTTCACTATGATCTTATCACCATCTTGTTACATTTGTAGTTTTTTGTGTGATGCCAGTATTGGTTTATTGTTGACTTATGTCCTATTAACAGTTAGGTTCATGGATGTGCCAGATTTGAGTGTTTGAGGAAAGGTGGAATACTCTGAGAAAAAACGTTGATCTGCAGCCAGTACCTGGTGACTGTCCCCTCCCTGTAGGTTACAAAGGTGGAGGACTAACGGCACTCAGACGCCTTAACCACCTGGTCACCATGGCCTAATACTGACAATAACTACAGGCATATATCTTAGCCTATTGATAATCATTTAGTATAATGACAATCTGCCATTTGGATGACCTCAACAGGTCATTTAAAACTGACCAGCATTCATCGGTGAAAGAGCAATATTATACTAAATATGTTACAAGGAGATGGACTGATGGACTAACAAACAGATCGTTTGTTGGTTTTATTACACCAAGGCCATTTTGAGGCAGGGTCTTCTTATAATAGCCAGTGACTACCTCCCTGAGCAAATTATTGAAATCCCATCACATGACGTCCAGAGCAGTTAGTGTAAAGTGTCTTTCCTAATGTCACAAACATGTCAGTAAAGATTGGTTCATGTATCTTCTTCTCGAGAAACACAAACCACCATGGGTATGGAGCATGGAACCATGTACCTCAAATCTTCATTAAAATCAGGTAGGCCAGCACACTAACCAACCAAGCTATACTGATCATTCTAAGAAACAGATTAAGTAACAACAACACTTCATTATAATTAGGGCACATTAAATTCACAGTGACACAGTAGTTACAAACTGATATGTTTTACCAATGTTATCTCAACATACTGACTCATATTACCATAGCTTATAGCTGTTCTGTAGAAATTACAACAATCGTTATTCAACCTTCCAATAAGCCCACTCAGACAATAACTCACAGATTTTCAGTTGCCTCCTTGATTTATTGCAAACAGAATGAGTTTCATTTAGAGTAGAGTAACAAGTACATGTATAACAAAGCTTGAAATATTATAGTTATACATAGCAAGAATCACCAATTGACAAACTAAATTATTTTCTACAAACATTGCCACTATCACACACACAGTTATATCAGGGGACGTGGATCTGCCACGTCAACAGTTTGTAATATCACCTGTCATTAGTGACAATAACCAATCAGTGACTGAGACTGTTAAAGGTCTGATCACGGCTCACCTGTCCTTATTACCTCACATGAAAACCTACACCATACCTTGTATGGTAGCTGCACATTCTAACAGGTTTAATACATATAAACCACATATATTAGATGGACATTAAGCAGTATAAAACCAATATTATAAAAACCTTGATATTTTATTTAGTTTAATCAATTGAGTTGGAATGGTCATAAGGAGTGGCAATCACCGGGATGAAGACAGTTCATACTCTCTTGTTTTTTGTTTCTTTCTAAAAACACAAACACTAAACAGTTATTTTTTCAATTTTTAATACTTTTTTGAGGGGAAATTGTAACCTATTTAATGTTACTTGTTTCCTTCTTTCTGTAGAAACAATCATACAAAAATGCATGGTAAATGTCATAATTGGACATAGCTGTAACCTACACCTAGAATACCAACCAATCTAAAGATCAATAACTTTTCATTGTGAAAAATATTGTGAAAAACGAAATAATTATGTAACATCTGCTGTGAAGTTATTTGACTTCATATTGCCTCTTCTCTTTATCTAGTACAATAGTTAAAACTACACATTAAAAGTTACTAGAGCTCAAAATAGCATCTCTTGATTGCTGTGTATAATGCATAAGTGCTATTCTATAGTTCTGTCTTTTAATCACAATGAAACTTGTTAATAGGTCCAGATTTTTATCCCTTTTCTATATCTGCCTGTTTGTTAATTATATAGGAACAAATACTCCCTTTAAAAAGATATTTATATAGCCCTGTTTTATAGTTGAAAAAACAAAATGCAAATGTCATTTTCAAAAAAGTTAAGGAAAAGTCAGAAACTTCTTCTCAATTTCAAAGAAAATGTTTCCATACTGGTACATTCTGTACACCTATACAAGAACAGGCAGCTTTAAACTTCTGATAGTAAAAAAAAAATGTTATCGTATACATGAGATACAAGCATGTAATGAGAACCGTACATATGTTAAGGTAACCATGAAATAACACACCATCACACATGAGCCATTAAACTTGGCAGATGATCTTGATTGTATTTTCATTGTTTTAAATGCCTGATATCTCATTGATCGGTTCAATATTTGGATAATTGTCTAAATTAAATGCCACCTCCTGGTGTAAAGTATTGATAACATTGAATTATATCTTCTTTTGTTCTGCATTGTTAACACATTAAAGGTTATAAATCTAAGAACAGATAGTTATGTTTTGAATTTGTTCTTTTGGTATCAAATCAAGCCGACATAGTATAAAAGGTTTTAATTTTTATTCTTGACTTTTTCTTCAGTCCCTAAAGTTTCTAATATAAAATCCTGTATTAAGCTGTGAGGCTTTCATTTTTTTACTTGCTGAGTGGTTCAAAACTGCCTCTCAAAATATCTGGTTTGCGGCATTGTACCACTAACTGTCACAACTATATCATAATTGGAAATTTTATGTGCAAGTCGAAATAATATCTTCCTATACATATCAATTTACTTGCTCTGACCAAATAAATTCCACTATAAGAGATACTGGGTATGTAAAATTGTTATCTATTTTCTCTGACAAAGACATAGGATGCTAACAATATGCACTCAAATTCTGGCAGAGACTTTATAAAATTCAAATATTTAAAATTCCCCTAATCATTAAGCTTACAAAGCTTAATACCATGGCTCACCAGTTCACTTAGATCTTTACAGTCGATATCAACATCAAATCAACCCATATCAGATGCATTTTGTCTCTAGGGGAGATAATCAGAAGAAACATAGTATTTTATCAACAACTGCATATCTCTTTTGAGATGATCAAATTTTATTTACTGTTAACGGGAAATGAATACCATATTATTGTTGTTAAACTTTAACACCAAAGCTTTTGTGATAAACAATCAATCATACAATTACGTCATGCAGGACTAATAAATGACCTTTAAAATGGACCAAACAAATTCAAACTCTATGAAATATCTAGCTCTCAGGATTGAAAAGGATTACATTTGTTTAACTATGCCAAAATGGGCACTGAAATTATGTAACCCAAAAATATGTAAAGATCAACATATTTTATTATAATGTCTTTACATAATGACCATTTAAAACATCCTGCCACCCTTGATTTTGAAGACTATGACCAAGTATTATTTACAAAGAACACAGAGAATGTTATCAGCTTTGAAATTACATTATTCATAAATTTGTTTCCGTTTCATATATGATTTATAAACTTTCCAACTTTATATATTTCATATTAAAGCCTATAAGATTGTATATTTTTAAACTAATGATATCATTTACGATAATGATTGAACAATTCAGCTTTCATTTATATGAAAATCAAATGTTGGCTGGGTTAATATCATTAAGGGCAAAATGTCTATCTTGGTGAGAAAAGGATCAGTGTACCCAAAGAAAATTCATTAAGTATCGTATGCATGCAAACATTTTAAAAAATTGGTTCTGGATTATTTTCATTGAAATCTCAGTTGTAGCTGTGTAGATGAAAGGCAAATGCATCGAACTGCAATGTGCCAGTAGATAATCTATTACTTTATTTGCCCAGCAATAGTCCCATGTCAGGATGTATGACCACCCATACATATATTGTTTATTTAGTAAATCCATAAACTAATGATTTTTCATTGTCATATAATAAGCCCACCTCATGTTTTTGTCTATGCTAGAATTTGAACCTGGGACCGCTGGTATACTTGTCTAATGCTCAACTTAAGCTGAAGAGAAGATCTTGCTAGCAAAGCAGTATATTTTGGCTAATATTTTCCAGGTTTACATACTCCTCTCCCATAAACAGCTTTTCCTTAAGTTTCCAGGGGTAACAATGTTGCTTGTCAAAGTCCCTACATTGGTATCAATGTAACAGAGATTATTATTTAAATCAATGCCTCTGCCAGGATTCAAACCCACATCCTCTGTTTATATATACTAGTCTAATGCCCAACTGATCGAGCTAAAGAGAAGTTCTCACTAGCCGTGCGGTACCTTATGGCTAACATTTACAAGGGTTACTTTTTCTGACGATATTTCTTAATTAAATTTTATGTATCATCAGTGCTGTATTTTCTTACCTGAAAGTTTTACATTTTTGGCAGAGCTTAGAGTGCGATTGAACGAAGGAATTTATATCCCACATGGAAGTTAGGACGAACAGCAAAAAAAAAAAAAAAAAAAAAAATATATATATATATGCATCTATCTGCATATGCCTAAGACTAACATAGTATTCATTTTTACCTCCTAGTTGTGACCTGATCCAGATATCTGAGACACTTCGACTATTCCACATTGAAGGGGCACCTGGCGCATATGTGTTGGACCGCCTCAGTTCCGGCGGTGCCTTCTGTTCATTCTTCCGATCTGAATTCTTGTCCTGAGGAGGTACAGCTTGCGGAGTTTCATTGAGCTGAACGAGGGAATTGATCTTTTTACGGCCAGTGTTTCTATCTACATCTCCTCCAGCACTGACAAATCCCGATACAGGATCCACGATGTTATCATAATCCCTGTAGGGGGCATTTGACCTAAAATCTCCCTCATCGTTCCACTTCTTGTAACCAATGTCAGTTTTCATATTTGTTGTGAAAGAATCAACATCGCCCCTACCTTTCAGTGTGGGAAATTTCATATGACGAGCTCTACGATGTGTTTCTATCTGTTGCACAGCATTTCCACCTGCGTTAGCGTCCACATACATGTAACTAGAGAAATTAGGCCTTGTCCTAAATGTTGAATCGGCCAAAACTGGCCCATTAGACACAACCTCAGTCATTTTGAGTATATCTGTAATACTACTACCTTCGTTTGAAGTTTAGCATTGATTTAAAGGGATGACATCTCACATTGCACTGGTGGAGAGCTCAGTTTCCGACATAGTGTAAACTACCGAGTTACCAGTGGATACTCCGAGAATTTCCATATATGGAGTATACCGGAAGTAGCAGGTGCCCGCCGAAGATTTATGATAATTTCAATTGTTGTTTGCTGTCATCAAAATATATCAGATTGCTTCCCTTAATTTCGGTTTTAACTAGTTTATAAAAATACATAACTGAATATAATATTTCAATCACCTTAATTTGATTATAATAATTTTGTATTTCCGGTTCCGTGACACACCGGCAACAACAAACATGGCGCCGAGGAAAAGAAATGCACAAAACGCCAACAATAATAGTCAAAACCAAACGAAGAAAAAAGGAGCAAAGCGACAAGATGATAAGAGCCAAGAGGTCACAGAAGTGGAAGGGATTCCGCTGTCATATCTTTCACTTATCCTGTTTTTCGGTAAAGTTACACGACTGAGATTATCTCGGTCTTGTTGTTTTGAATAAAAATAAATATTGAGCCTAGCATGCGTGCATCCATATATGCGTCGTATATACAGTCCCGTGTTAAGTGCAAAAGTGTCGATAACTTTCCAAGGGAAAAGTCTGTAAATTCGCTCACGATTTAAACTTTTCCGTGATCTGTACATCGCATTTAATATAATACAACATATTATATTTGTCATTCCGTAATTTTCTAATTCAATTAAGATTCGTCGCCTTTGAAATGCAAACATCCATTTTAGTGTCACCTATATACATATAGTAAATTAGAAATGATGATGAAAAAATATTCACTTCCTTTTCAAAGATTAAGTTTTCTTTGTTTCATGGTATATATTCTTTAACTTATCAATTATTATAACGTTCTGTTCATCAAAATTTAGACTGACCTGACCGGTGCTCGAACGGGAACTGTACTTGAACACTTATTTTATTTCGGTTCTCATTCCACAAAACACCCGATTTGTCCACTGATGATTGACAATAACTTTGTGGGATGTAAACACTTTTCTACCTCTTAATAAGCTCTCAAACAAAGCGGCGTTAATCTGAAATCTGAATTGAAGCAGACGACTGCACAGCCAACCTTGCATGTGACAACCATCAAAATAAAGGCCAGTTGCTGAAAAGTTTGCATACTTCATTATTTTGCATTTCCCCCATAGAAATGCATACTGATTCCTGATTTCATGGTCCAATCTATAAAGAAAATGAAGTAATATATCTTGTATAATTCTACAACGATATTGACTTAAAATAAATCTTTGGTGGATTTTGTGTGGAAGAGGTACAAATATGATTACCGGTATATAAAATGACATCACAACAACATTGTACACATTTGAATATTTTAATGAGGTGTTCTAGCATAGGTTCTAACTTCCATTGATATCAGCCATTACACCAATTGTTAATAACTTACTGCCTAATAGGCAACAACAACTATGTCATTGATAAGTATTCAGATCAAAGCAGTGTTCAAGCATTTGTCAGGTGAGTCGCATTTGTCAGGTGAGTCTTATTGTAATCAGACTACCTGATATAATTTTCTGATGCTTCAGTCAGAAAAAAATGTAGAAATGAAGTTGAACATATGTTAGTGGTAATGATCTTTTCTGTATTTTATACTTTCAGCTGCAGTCATTGGAGTTGCACACAGGTAAAGAAAGTATTTATAAACATTAAAACAATTATATTCTTCAGATCTGAGAAAAATTAAATATCTATATAACATACTGTTAAAGTTGTACAGTGATTATTGCTGGAGATAACTGTACAATGAAGCATGACAATGCATTCTGTTACAAGACTTTGGTGATGTAAGAGAACAGTGTTTATTTGTAATTACTACAAACACGAAAACAAATTTGAGACTTATCTTGAAGATTTTTGATCTATTTCAGATCTTTAATCTGAGTTTACAATTTTGTGCTGAAGTCATTTTACCTCTTTTATGATATTTGATGTGATTATCATTGACAGAAATCATTTAGCAGGGATGTTTGAGAGGGATCGTCATTTTTCACATCTGTCCACTCTGGAGAGAGAGCTTGCTTTTCGTACTGAAATGGTAAGAAGGTACCAGTATGTCAACAAATACCTGTTTATAAGAATTAGAGGACATTTAATGTTTTTTCTGTTTAATATGATAATACATGTGTATGACAGAAAATTGGTATGTTGTCATACAAATTAAATATTTATTATATTATATGGGAAACCATTTAAAGAATAAGAAAAGAAAATTATCCCAATGTAAAAGTGTAACCTTTGATGATGTGTTCTATGCTATTAAACTTGACATCATACCAGTGTCCCAATTACTCAACATTTGCTTCATTGGCATTTTACCCAAGAAAAAAATGGAAAACACCATTTTGATTTGTCAGTAACCAACCAACCAGAATAGGTAGTGCAACTGTCTAGAGTTGGAAGGGTCTCAGGTGTGAACCATGGTCTTGCTGTGCATTAACAATCCTTTTACACCACTATAGTATTTACCTCGGTCTTCTTTTATCACCATTCATTTTGATATTTGTGTTATTTGTTTCCTTCCAGGGACTGTATTACTCCTACTACAAGACTATGATAGAAACCAAGACATATCAAAAAGGACTGAATAAGATTATGTATGACAACATCACAGAGTATCCACTCACGATCAACACACTGAAACGATTCAATTTGTACCCAGAGGTAACTGTGTTCTGGTCATATCTATTCATCATTATTTTAGTTTGTCATTGTTGGTAACTATGGAGATGTTGTGTTCTGTCATTGTGACTTTACATGTCCATGTCACTGTGATACTCTATGTCCTTTGTCATGTGTTTAACTAAGGGGGATAACTGTCAGTACATTGGGTTTTTTTGTTACTTAGAGAGAGAGTGACATGTTCTTTTCATTATCTCTTTAGAAAGAATTCCATGTCTAATTGATGTACTCACTGTGTTCTTGACTGTGAGTGTTACACAGGGAGATAATTGTTGTAAGAACTGTATGCTCCTCTAGCCATCCCTTTAAAGAAATCTATGTCACATTGATACTCCTTGTACTTGAATTGGTTTGTAACCAATGGAGTTAACTGCTGTAAATATAATATATTTAAGGGTTTTGAGGAAGATACTGTCTTCTCTCATTGTCTTTTCACATAAAATGTGTATTTTACCTGTACTCTAACTTTAATCTTGTTTTTACTACAGGCTGTTTTGGCAATAGGATATCGGGCTTATGAGAGTTTCTGGACTGGTCTGAATAAACCTACTAAACAGTGCTGGACTGTGAACCGGGGAGAAGGGAAAACACCTGTACAGAGCTGTGAAGGTATAGTGAATTATTACTGGTGTATATCTGTACAGAGCTGTGAATGTACACTGAATTATTACTGGTGTATATCTGTACAGAGCTATGAAGGTACACTGAATTATTACTGGTGTATATCTGTACAGAGCTATGAAGGTACACTGAATTATTACTGGTGTATATCTGTACAGAGCTATGAAGGTATACTGAATTATTACTGGTGTATATCTGTACAGAGCTATGAAGGTATACTGAATTATTACTGGTGTATATCTGTACAGAGCTGTGAATGTACACTGTATCATCATCAGTTAGATTATGATGTACATAATAGTATACAATACATTAAATAGACAGACAAGTCTGGGCTTTTATTGGAAGATAAAGACAGCAGATAACATGATAAAGATAAGATAGACCATAAAACCAGTGTCAGAATATTAAATAGTTTTCTTTTGTTGGTTCAGGTCTAGGAGAACCATCCTATTTCTACATAGAAAATGTGTTTTTTCTCAATGGAGTAATGATGAGTGTGTTCTTCCTCTTTGGTACCTACTTGAGGTAAGTAAAAATTGTTTGATTTTGATTGTCTTGACAGCATCACTGGTAGTACATGTTTCCTGAGTAAGTTTAGGTCAGAGGGAGTACTGAAAAAATGTTTTATGATGGCAAAATGTTGGAAGTTTTTGCTGTGTTGTTTTTAATGCTATATGATTTGAAAAAACTAATTCAAATAAATACTGTAAGTTTTATTCTTTTTGCTACCTCAGGTACACAGAAGCTAGAAAATTACAAACATGTTGTCAGAAAAAAATTGACCTGGAAACCAGAAGATATCTATTTCAAAAACATTTTAGAACAGCTTAAATGTTGTCAGAAAAAATCTCTATGAGCCATGGATTGTTTAAGGATTCAAGTAGTTGTTCAGTGAACACTACCAAACGAAATAAATGTGTGAGATTGTTTCTTGTCTTTGAACTGGTAGTAACTAAGAGAAAGTCAACTATCGAAAAGTGTTTTATTGTTCCGGAGATAAGTTAAACATTTTATCGATCCACCTACGTTCTGGATTTTTGTTCGTAATAAATTTTGATGTGTGCTTATGTCAGCTTTGCTGGGAAAATTGACTGATTGAATACAATGAATTGCTGTTTTAGTGGTAGTGTTTTTGGAGGAGTGTTGACTGTTGCTAGCTATTTCTACAACCATGGGGAGGTAAGTTGTCCCTGATAATTTCACATGAGGTATAAAATCTCGGTGAAGTAAACGTTGAATCATGAGATGTGTACAGATGTAAGTTGGTTATACAAGAGTTAATGAATCATGTGATATATTTTATTCCTCATTTGCTGATGTCATGATACTTAAACTTTTGTAAGAAATTCATTATTTATTAAGACATAATTAAGTATTCATTGTCTATTGCCTGGAATGAAAACATTGAACATAGTGTTACTAGTGTTACTGATGTCAAGGTCATCCTCAAAATCCTGGCATTGTGATCACTTACTTTACTCTGTAAGTGATCGTAACTCCTGGAGGAGTTGAGGTATATCCACCACATTTTGACAATATCTATCTTATTTAGAAAAGCCCAAATAAAGTGCATTAATGTATACCTTCCTTTAAAGATGCATATCAATTCATAAATTCAACAGAAATATTGGAATGTGATGCATATGTTTTTCAGAAATTTCTGGTTTCTCAAAATATTCCCTTCCCATATAAGATTTGGTTGGTGACAAGGTTAAAGGTGTTGTATATTTCATGTTTTTTTTTTTTGGTTTTGTTATAGTGCACCAGATGTATGTGGACACCACCCCTGAGAGAAAGCTTCGCCTACCCATTCCTGGTCATCCAAATGCTGCTCGTAACACATATTATTAAGTAAGGGTGATTTTAGATGAAAAATTGTTTTTAAATCACTATTTTTAAGTGTTTAAGACCTTCTCATTTTACTGATTAGTGTTGACTGTGGATGTAAAATGGTTATATCACAAGGACACTATCTGACAAGCTAGTAATTCATACGAACTAAACTCATGTCCTACATAAACTGTCATCACTGTTATTATGTTTTAGGTTTACAGATTATATGACTTTAAAATGTCTCCATGTGTGTGCTGTATGAAATGACAAAATATCACTTCATGCAATGTTGTTTTGCTATTTAAATCTTTAATACTTTTTAAGTGAAAAGTTATATAATAGTTCTCATGAATTTTCAGATTACGTATTCCAAGTTACCGATACAGCGGCCTTATTGCCCTCATCACTGTGTGCTTCATGTTGTCTTGGCAGGTTGGTGTTCTATCTTTGTGACATTCTATCTTTACAATGACTTGCTATAAATTCATTGATGTTATTTTACAATTTTCAGCTGGTATTTACTTATTTGAATTAGGTTGTGTTCTCATTACCTGCTAATGGAATCAATTCCATTGGCAAAGCGTTATTTCGCTGTTAGGCAGAGCCAAAGATTTAGCATTTTTCAGTTGAGAGTCTCTGTTAGATATAAAACAATTAACAAAATGTCAATGGATTTGGTTTTCACCAATGCTGTATAAACATTATATTTCTCACAATGCATGAGTGTTCTGGCCCCGACTTATGCAGATAAGTTAAAATAGAAACAGGTACTTTTGAAACAGTTTATCTAGTACCATCAAAATGCGTGATGTGCCAGATTTTGGAATTTTACCATTGGTTCTGATCTGTCCCTGTAGTTTTTCCTTCATGTAAAACTACTGACTTGAAAACAACCATAGTAAAATAATCTTTAATTAGAATTCATTAATAGAACAAAGGCAGAGCCATAAACAAACTGTTAACATAAAAAGTTAAGAAAGTGCTACCTCGATAATTATATAAAAAGAATGAAAAAAATACATGAGTTTGTGGAATCAGAACTTTTTTACATGACATTGTGTATATACTTGCTTCATTCTTTATTTTTTTTTTGCAGTACTTTGATATATGAGTGTCTAAAATAAGTCTTTGTTTTTATTTCCCATCTTTGATAATAAAAAGGTAAATAAATGTTTGTGAGAATTTTAATATTTTCTTTTTTCTTTTAGTTTGCCCAGTTTGCACTCCTTACTCAAACTTTGGCTGTGTTTGCTACGTACGCCCTTGGTTACATTGGTTCACATAAGGTCAAGGTCATTATGATGGGTCAGCTGGTGAGTTGTACATTGGTTCACATAAGGTCAAGGTCATTATGATAAGTCAGCTGGTGAGTTGTACAGTTGATATATTTGTTTTATTCACTGAAGATACTGTTAAAGGAAAACTGACAAGGAGTGAGACTTAATCAATCTGTGTGACATGCAAGCGAAAGTATATAGATGTATGGCAGCCATTGATATGCTCAGACAGACAGAAGTTTTGTTGTACTTGGTTCTGTTTCTTTGATAAACCTGACTTTCTTTTGTACATTGGTTTAGGTTTTAATTCTGAATCATTAAACAAACCATTTGGCTTTTTCCCAGTAATAAATGTAAACAGGGATTCAATGTTTATATGAAGCCTCCCAAAGTAAAAAAAATAATTTATGTTAATCACTGAAAACCTAGTAGTATTTGTATGCTTACAGAATTTTGTTCCATTTCAGACTGGACTTCTCTGTAGTTTCATTGCTTTATTTGGGAATGAGATGCTTTTAACATCTTTTTTCACATCTTGCGTTATAACAGTCATGGTAAGTTATTTTTAGGGATTATATGGTGTTAACCATGTTCATGTGTTACTTCCTGTCACATCATATCCTGTTCCAAAGCAATGTCATATCTTGTGAACCTATCAACAGATTTGGATGATATTTACCCCAATCCTAAAATCAAGATCTAAACCTAGTCATATTAAGATCGTCATCAGTCACAGTTAAAGGGTCAAAAGTCACTTTTGACAATTTCTGCATATTCATCAAGTGATACTTCAATGTGTGGGAGAGAGTGCATTCATGCCTTACAGACATTTATTTTTTTTCACTGTGATGATATATTGAAACAAGCTTTAATAGGACATGCAATATATATTTATGTTTAAGAAAAAGATATTTAATTTTCTCTAGAATAACGTAATATTTCCTGTTGGTGTTTGTAGGTTGTCGTTATCTTGGAGTCACATCTTGAGAAGCTGAATTACAAAGTTTTAATACTGGTAAGTTTGTAGATAATATAAAATTTTGTAAAAGGACGCTTAATAGAAATCCATGTATTTAAAAAATGGACCAATTGTTAAAAAAAATTGATTTGCCTGTTAACTAACCATGACTGTTCCTTGTTTCCTCCTGATGTAATAACCATTTTACATCCACAGGCTACACAAGGTGTCCTGCTGATTCTGGGTACTGTTGGACTGAAGATAGCCCTGTCTAGACTTTTCAGTACAGCAGATGATGTAAGTCGACATTGTTTACTAGACTGATGGTGATTTGACATGATTGGTTAGTATTAATGAATTCCAACGCTTGTCTTATTCTCAGGTTACTCTAGCCTTGTCATTGACCTTTGATATGGGTCTTTAAAATAGTTTGTTTAGGCGATATAATCCATGTACATTTTGATTTAATGTTATCAGGTCAGTCAACTTTCCATGGATGTCCCATTAGATGCATGTGTACCAGTAGGATACTAAGGATTTTTATGCAATACTTTGCCATGGTAGATATATTACTGCCCAATAGTGACAGTATTAATACCTAATGAAAATAAGCAAACATTCTATTAAAAGGTGATAAAATAAGCCATCATCAAATTTACTGGGGATGAAATTTACTGGGGATGAAAAATGTAACATAAAATAAGCCATCATCAAAACTGGGGATGAAATGTAACATTGAACCCCCCACCCCCACCCAAAAAAAAAGGTGATAAAATAAGCCATCATCAAATTTACTGGGGATGAAATGTAACATTGAACCCCCCACCCCCACCCAAAAAAAAAGGTGATAAAATAAGCCATCATCAAATTTACTGGGGATGAAATGTAACATTGAACCCCCCACCCCCACCCAAAAAAAAAGGTGATAAAATAAGCCATCATCAAATTTACTGGGGATTGAACCCCCCACCCCCACCCAAAAAAAAAGGTGATAAAATAAGCCATCATCAAATTTACTGGTTATGTATTGTCAACTTTTTGACTGGAGTTCATACGTTTTAAAAAGGTGATAAAATAAGCCATCATCAAATTTACTGGGGATGAAATGTAACATTGTACCCCCCACCCCCACCCAAAAAAAAAGGTGATAAAATAAGCCATCATCAAATTTACTGGGGATGAAATGTAACATTGAACCCCCCACCCCCACCCAAAAAAAAAGGTGATAAAATAAGCCATCATCAAATTTACTGGGGATGAAATGTAACATTGAACCCCCCACCCCCACCCAAAAAAAAAGGTGATAAAATAAGCCATCATCAAATTTACTGGGGATGAAATGTAACATTGAACCCCCCACCCCCACCCAAAAAAAAAGGTGATAAAATAAGCCATCATCAAATTTACTGGGGATGAAATGTAACATTGAACCCCCCACCCCCACCCAAAAAAAAAGGTGATAAAATAAGCCAACATCAAATTTACTTGGGATGTAATGTAACATTTAACCCCCCACCCCCACCCAAAAAAAAAGGTGATAAAATAAGCCATCATCAAATTTACTGGGTTTTAATTGTTAAGTTGTTCCCCCCACCCCCACCCAAAAAAAAAGGTGATAAAATAAGCCATCATCAAATTTACTGGGGATGAAATGTAACATGAACCCCCCACCCCCACCCAAAAAAAAAGGTGATAAAATAAGCCATCATCAAATTTACTGGGGATGAAATGTAACATTGAACCCCCCACCCCCACCCAAAAAAAAAGGTGATAAAATAAGCCATCATCAAATTTACTGGGGATGAAATGTAACATTGAACCCCCCACCCCCACCCAAAAAAAAAGGTGATAAAATAAGCCATCATCAAATTTACTGGGGTTGAAATGTAACATTGTACCCCCCACCCCCCCCCAAAATAAAAGGTGATAAAATAAGCCATCATCAAATTTACTGGGGATGAAATGTAACATTGAACCCCCCACCCCCACCCAAAAAAAAAGGTGATAAAATAAGCCATCATCAAATTTACTGGGGATGAAATGTAACATTGAACCCCCCACCCCCACCCAAAAAAAAAGGTGATAAAATAAGCCATCATCAAATTTACTGGGGATGAAATGTAACATTGAACCCCCCACCCCCACCCAAAAAAAAAGGTGATAAAATAAGCCATCATCAAATTTACTGGGGATGAAATGTAACTTTGAACCCCCCACCCCCACCCAAAAAAAAAGGTGATAAAATAAGCCATCATCAAATTTACTGGGGATGAAATGTAACATTGAACCCCCCACCCCCACCCAAAAAAAAAGGTGATAAAATAAGCCATCATCAAATTTACTGGGGATGAAATGTAACATTGAACCCCCCACCCCCACCCAAAAAAAAAGGTGATAAAATAAGCCATCATCAAATTTACTGGGGATGAAATGTAACATTGAACCCCCCACCCCCACCCAAAAAAAAAGGTGATAAAATAAGCCATCATCAAATTTACTGGGGATGAAATGTAACATTGAACCCCCCACCCCCACCCAAAAAAAAAGGTGATAAAATAAGCCATCATCAAATTTACTGGGGATGAAATGTAACATTGAACCCCCCACCCCCACCCAAAAAAAAAGGTGATAAAATAAGCCATCATCAAATTTACTGGGGATGAAATGTAACATTGAACCCCCCACCCCCACCCAAAAAAAAAGGTGATAAAATAAGCCATCATCAAATTTACTGGGGATGAAATGTAACATTGAACCCCCCACCCCCACCCAAAAAAAAAGGTGATAAAATAAGCCATCATCAAATTTACTGGGGATGAAATGTAACATTGAACCCCCCACCCCCACCCAAAAAAAAAGGTGATAAAATAAGCCATCATCAAATTTACTGGGGATGAAATGTAACATTGAACCCCCCACCCCCACCCAAAAAAAAAGGTGATAAAATAAGCCATCATCAAATTTACTGGGGATGAAATGTAACATTGAACCCCCCACCCCCACCCAAAAAAAAAGGTGATAAAATAAGCCATCATCAAATTTACTGGGGATGAAATGTAACATTGAACCCCCCACCCCCACCAAAAAAAAAGGTGATAAAATAAGCCATCATCAAATTTACTGGGGATGAAATGTAACATTGAACCCCCCACCCCCACCCAAAAAAAAAGGTGATAAAATAAGCCATCATCAAATTTACTGGGGATGAAATGTAACATTGAACCCCCCACCCCCACCCAAAAAAAAAGGTGATAAAATAAGCCATCATCAAATTTACTGGGGATGAAATGTAACATTGAACCCCCCACCCCCACCCAAAAAAAAAGGTGATAAAATAAGCCATCATCAAATTTACTGGGGATGAAATGTAACATTGAACCCCCCACCCCCACCCAAAAAAAAAGGTGATAAAATAAGCCATCATCAAATTTACTGGGGATGAAATGTAACATTGAACCCCCCACCCCCACCCAAAAAAAAAGGTGATAAAATAAGCCATCATCAAATTTACTGGGGATGAAATGTAACATTGAACCCCCCACCCCCACCCAAAAAAAAAGGTGATAAAATAAGCCATCATCAAATTTACTGGGGATGAAATGTAACATTGAACCCCCCACCCCCACCCAAAAAAAAAGGTGATAAAATAAGCCATCATCAAATTTACTGGGGATGAAATGTAACATTGAACCCCCCACCCCCACCCAAAAAAAAAGGTGATAAAATAAGCCATCATCAAATTTACTGGGGATGAAATGTAACATTGAACCCCCCACCCCCACCCAAAAAAAAAGGTGATAAAATAAGCCATCATCAAATTTACTGGGGATGAAATGTAACATTGAACCCCCCACCCCCACCCAAAAAAAAAGGTGATAAAATAAGCCATCATCAAATTTACTGGGGATGAAATGTAACGTTGAACCCCCCACCCCCACCCAAAAAAAAAGGTGATAAAATAAGCCATCATCAAATTTACTGGGGATGAAATGTAACGTTGAACCCCCCACCCCCACCCAAAAAAAAAGGTGATAAAATAAGCCATCATCAAATTTACTGGGGATGAAATGTAACATTGAACCCCCCACCCCCACCCAAAAAAAAAGGTGATAAAATAAGCCATCATCATAATTTACTGTGGATGTAATGTAACGTTGAACCCCCCACCCCCACCCAAAAAAAAAAGAAAGAAATTGTTTCTTAATTATTGATAAATACTGTAAACCTTTTCGTTTTGGTATTGATTTTAGGCACACATAGGAGATATATTCCGAAGTAAATTCTCAAACTTCAAGAATTTCCACACAATGTTGTATACCTGTGCAAAGGAGTTTGACTTCATGGAAGCAGAGGTAATTTGTTAGTTTGTTAGTGTCAGTATCAAATCTCACATCTTCTTTTGTATCTCTTGTGACAACTGGTGTTTTCATAACTAACATATTGTGTCTAATATCAACAAATTATGTGATCATTATATATAATTAAACCAATCACTAGGTTTACCAGTAAGCTGTTTAGTACTTGAAAGAGACCTATGCTGTACCTATTACCAGAGATTGAATAGTTCATATTTAAATTACAAGACCATTCCAGGCATGATTTTAAATATTTTTCAATTTTCGTTTTTCCAGACACCTTGGAAAGTTCTGAAGACCTTATTGGCTCCTTCAGTGGGTGTAGCTGTATTGACTGTAGTATTCCAGGTAACAACAATTATACTGTTACAGTTCAATTAAAATCTCAGTAAACTGTCACATTGTGCAATACATGATGTTACCCTAGACAATGTATAATGTTACCCTAGACAATGTATAATGTTACCCTACACAATGTATAATGTTACCCTAGACAATGTATAATGTTACCCTGCACAATGTATAATGTTACCCTATACAATGTATAATGTTACCCTACACAATGTATAATGTTACCCTACACAATGTATAATGTTACCCTACACAATGTATAATGTTACCCTACACAATGTATAATGTTACCCTACACAATGTATAATGTTACCCTACACAATGTATAATGTTACCCTATACAATGTATAATGTTACCCTGCACAATGTATAATGTTACCCTACACAGTGTATAATGTTACCCTACACAATGTATGATGTTACCCTACACAATGTATAATGTTACCCTAGACAATGTGTAATGTTACCCTAGACAATGTATAATGTTACCCTAGACAATGTATAATGTTACCCTACACAATGTATAATGTTACCCTGCACAATGTATAATGTTACCCTAGACAATGTATAATGTTACCCTGCACAATGTATAATGTTACCCTATACAATGTATAATGTTACCCTACACAATGTATAATGTTACCCTACACAATATATAATGTTACCCTACACAATGTATAATGTTGGTTTACACAATGTGTAGTAGCTCATCACAGAACAACCCTGTCATAAGTGTAATGACACCAAGGTTGTATTCTGACCAAACATGTTCTAAAATCTGACAAGGATGAGATTTCCATCGAGATTTGCGATACTTGTCACAGATGTTTGATTTATGGTCCATGCAGTAGTACATGGGTAAGGAAGCACTCCCTGGGCTTGATCCTTGACAAGGTGAAAATAATCAAGTGAAATATCTTATGATCAGGTTAACATTTTAAACTTTCCAGCCAAACATAAATAAAGCTTTCAATTTTAAGGATAATTCTACTAAATTATTTGTGATGACTTTTGACCTTGTTTTAGTTTAATGACATGTTTTGTTTGTTTCAGTTACTGAAAAGAGAATATAAAGTGTGGACTAGCGATACAAATAGTGGTTCTGACGATGGCGAGGAGGAGAATGAAAGGTTTGTGACGGATCAGAGTTGAATGATTTACTTAACAATTGTATAATGATAATAATATGTTTGACCAGTTATCGTAGGTTTTTAGGTTGGGTTACGACTGGGAGATAAAAATATTACTAAAACTCTTGTGATAGTCTAGATCTAATGTAATCTGATAATAGAGATGAATGATGTCGTAGATATCTGTTTTGAGGACTAAACATTACCATATTTTAATGACCTATTATTTACTAAAGAGAAAACACAAAGTTAATCAGTCTTTATAGTTAAGATAGAGATCATAATTGATTTGAAGGAATACTCTTTGACTGATCATGAATGACATATCTCATTTTGTAATGGAGGTCGTCTTCCTTTTCAGTCAGCATAGGGGCAAGCCACATGCTGAGGTAAGTGTCTTTTCTCTGCCATGTCATCACAATTTGCTTTTTTTTGTGTCCTTGTGATCCCCTCCCAACAGGTTGAAATAGCGTTTTCATCCCTAGGGGCTTTCATTCTCTAATGTCTAACTCTGTCCATTTACCTATCCCTGAAGAATTTGTCAGTAGAGAAAACCATGCTGTGAAGGATAAGCATATCCTAACATACCTGTTGACCTTAATGAGAGGATTATCCCTGTTAGGAGGTCAAAGGTCATGGATACTTGGTCATGTAACTATGTTGTTTGATCACACGTCAATAGGTTATATAATAGAACAGATGCAAGGTCAAACATATATCTGAAAACTATGTTTTATTTTTGCTGTAAGACAAAAAATAATTTTAATAAATGATTCTGTATAGTTTATATAGGAGAGAGACCTTGACTTTAAAAGTGCTTCTTTGAAAACTGCCTTAGAAAGTTTAGGGTGGGCAGGGTTACTGGAAACAGGAAATATTTTTTGTTCAGTCTTACTTGGACATAAAAATAATTTTCTACAACTCCATGGTAACTTGGTAACCCAAAACTGATGATTCAGTGTAGTTGGTATATATACCTGGTCTACTAAGACTGTCCCTTACCTTCCTGTGTTGACTTATCCTCATTTGATCATTATTTTACCCCACTTCCACTTCTTTAAGGAGGGAAACGGCTGGTAATCATGGTTTGTGCATCTCTCTGTGTATGCCAAAACTGTGTATCAGATATCTCATGGATCCCTGAACATATTTATTTTGTATTCTCTCTAGAACATAACGTCATCAAGTTCTACATCTAATTAGCTTTTGGTGGTCATGGGTCAAATCTAATGGTGAAAGGTTACAGCAAAGGTCACCTTGGACTAGTTTGGAAATAAAGCTTGTGCACAAGATTTTTCATGACTTTAACAACATGTTCTGTGAAAACATTTGTTTTTGTGGACCTCAGATTTTATGGTTTTTCTGAAATATTTATTTTTGTTGTCACTTTATTATAGGCTTTGCTCACAAATTCACTAATTCTGTCATCAATGTTAACTTTTATCTGTTCATCATGTTATGGACATATAAATTTGTGGATTTAGAGTACACACAATTCATCGAAAATGAATCCCTCTCGAAAAATTAACAACTTTACAGTAGTTCATATTCACACCACATACCATACAAATTCTACACCAATTCAAGCTTTTTGTGTTCATCAGTCAAGGTTAAATAGTCTAAGGTAACACTTTACTGCTTGAAATAAAAGGCTGGTGTACATTTCATGAGCCTTCAGACAGATTTAGTTTAGAATGAAAAGATCAAGGAGTGGGTTATACCATAGTTGTAAAATAAGGAAAATGGTAAGTAAATATAACACACCATGACCTGACATGTAATTTATCTTACAGCTGGTGTATCACCTGTTCCAACTGTTAGCCTTCACAGCCATGGCCATTCTTATCATGCGACTGAAGCTGTTCTGGACCCCCCATATGTGCCTCATGACCTCACTTTTAGCCTCACGACAGGTACCTCACTTTGTATAAAACTCTAGGGAATTGTAGTGTCTGTGTTAAACTTTACACTGTATAGATAATTTACTCTTTCAATAACTGTATCTAGGAACATTAAATTGATTCCTTTTAGTGCTTATCTGCTATTTCTTAAAGGACATGTACTTTTCTGACTTATATAATGAATAGAGTATATTCTATATGTTTTCATTTCATACAAAATTTTATGAAAATCATCTTGGATGTATCAGTTTTTGCTTGACAGGGCTCAAGAATTTCCAAGACTTGTTTCATAAAATCTTATGTTGAATAAAAACTCATTTAAGATCGTATTTATAACATACTAGTAAGCACCTATCTACAGTCAAACTAGTTTATAATGAAATCCAATGGAAAACTAAAATACTTTCAAAATAGTTTGATGATAAGCTGTTTTTACAAAATATCTAAGCTTTCATTTTACACGACATTTATATAATTTACTGCATGATCTTCGTTGTACCTCTCCAGAAGATCTGAGAAAAGAAATAAAAGTGATGAACTTGTTTCATACATGTCAAATAAAGTTGAAATTTATGTGAGATCCTAGTCGGATGCTATAAATAGTTAAAGACATGCGTAACAGGTATTAAACTATTTCCTTGTTTTAATTCTAATTTTTTCATTTTGCAGTTTTATCTTTTGGATATTGATTCACATGATTAATTTGGTACAATAAATATCTAGTGCATTGTTGCTTTTAGGTAAATTAATGCAATAATACATTTGCACATGGACAATAATTATTTAGATAATCAACACATAAAATCTGTAATTAGTGCAATCATATTCAAGTGCGATACTGCCTGTGTGAAAAGTGCTAAAATAAGTTAAATATGTTTGTTCACAGTATTTAGAGGAGTCCTGTGTTATTATTACAGTTGTTCAGTTGGATCGGCAGTAGAGAGAGACAGCTGGCGATTGTGGTTCTGGTGTTGGCAGGCATGAGTGTGCAGGGAATCCAAAACCTACAACACCAGTGGAGCATTATGGGAGAATACAGTAACTACCCGTTAGAGGAACTGGTGGAATGGATTCAGGCTAAAACACCAAAACGTAAGTAAGCTTTACAGTTACGATCTCTTCTTGCTTCCAGTGTTAAGTCCTTGGTTAAGAAGTTTTGATTGAATATCTGAAAAATACTAAATTAAGATAATTGATTTGATGATTTCTGTTTTATTCTAATGTTGCTCTTTAAGATCATGATGATGTTGTCTTTGAATGTGATTTGTTAGCCCTGATATCAGTGACTACTACATGACTATAGATGCTATATTTGCTGGTCCTGTGTCCCAATATTTATGTCTACTATATGAGCACAGATGCTATATTTGCCAGTTCTGTGTCCTGATATCAATGACTATTTTATGACTACAGGTGCTGTATTTGCTGGTCCTATGCCAACAATGGCAACTGTTAAACTGTGTACAGGCCGACCAATCATCAACCACCCTCACTATGAGGACGCTGGATTACGGTGAGTTTTAGCATCTGTAAGAGGATTTTTTTATTTTTTCTATGTCAAAGTACTGGACTTGTTCATGAATATAGTACAGTGTAAGAATTTTGACAACTTTCGGTATAGCTTGTGTAATGCTATTTGTTATCACTATCAACAATCTGTGGGAATACTAGGAGAGTAGTGACAGGTACGTTGTATATACTGTATACAAAGAAACATTCATCGCAGTGTAACTTTGGTCTGTTTTGCCTCTTTATCAACAAGATGTATATCAATGGTAGATTTAAGTTTATATTAGACTTTAAGTGCATGTTGATCTTTTCTTTATTTTTTGATGAATGTCAAGTGATAATGAACAGTACCATGTGATGACAGAAAAATAACTTTGTTTATTTACCAGTATATAGTATATGTTTTGAATTATAATATCTTTGGCTCAGCAGTGTGTTGTTTGTTTTTAGGGAGAGGACAAAGGACGTTTATACTATGTACAGTAGAAAACCTGCTGAAGAAGTGAAAAAGATTCTAAAGAAACGAAAGGTTCAATACGCCATTCTGGAGGAATCTTGGTGTAATAGACGGTCAGGGTACGTAACTAATAGTTTTACAAGGTCTAGATTAATTACATTTTCTCTTTAGTTAACCATTTTGAATGTGAAGAAACCTTCTCTACATAAACCATTTCGACCCTCCAAATCCTTCAGAAATACTGTCGAACCTCATTATCTTGAACTCATATAACTTCACCGACCCCAGCCAAATTTCACACTAAACTTTCGAACTCACTTAAATCAGATAACTTGATATAATGAGGTTAGACAATATTTTTTTCTTGGAAAGTCTTTTTTGTTTTTACATGGTGTTCATATATTTTGGAATGGTGTGTATGATGGAGAATAAATGAAGGAGGGTCTCACATTTGCTTAATGGTCTTTTATGCATCATGGTGTATTTGTTGTCTTATATTTGACTGTCCTCTTTTGTTGTAGCGTGGGATGTTCTATGCCAGAAATCTGGGACATTGAAGATGAGGTGAATCGAGGAAAGCAGCCATTATGTCAGAAACTTCTATTCAATTCTGAACCTCACTTCAAAAGAGTGTTTAGGAACAGTGTGTATCAAGTACTAAAATTAACGTAACATTAGTAAGGCTCACACAGACTGAACAAGGCATAATCAGGACGAATACAGTCCAGTCAGTGTGGCGTTGGGGGATTGGGAACATTTCATCCATGTAAAAAAGTTGTTTACATTCTGCAATTTTTCCTCTCTTCTGAGTTCTCAATTGAAAAGCTTTGACCTCTTTTTCTAGTGTCATAAATACTGGTAGTAGGGATGTGTGTAACAAGATGAAGTTCTGTAAGTATTGAGTGGTATGGAATTAGGTAGTTATGCAATATATACTACTCACAATTTGATAGGGATCACTTATTTATTTAATGTATAACGGTATCTATTTTAAGAATATATTCTACAGTTCTATTTATACATATTTCGGCATTATAAGATGAAGATATAACAACACCAAGCGAAGAATAACAGTATTAATTTGCTTCAATGCTCATTGTACACAGATACCCAGAAAATCGCAAATTACGACAAAAGGGGCGAAAAATTAAGTCCTACAAAACAGTGTCATTCAGTGAAAAATACAGTATCGAGTATAACGTCCTCGAGCATCAATTATGCTCTGGCAGCGGTGGCGCATGCTTCTGATCAAGTCTCATATCCGGTTTTGGGGAATACTTGTCCAATCAGCGACTAGAGTTCCTGATGCATTCTAGGTTGGATGTTTCTCGCCGAAACAGCCTTCTGAAGCATGTCCCACACGTTTTCTATAGGATTGAGATCTGGAGATTGGGCTGGCCAAACCATCCTCTCAATTGTTTCCCTTTCCAGATACTGTTCAGTCACACAAGCTCTGTGTGGCCGCACATTATCGTCCATAAGAATGAATTCCGGACCTATAGCACCAGCATAAGGCCTGACGTACACGTCCAGGACTTCGTCACAGTACCTCTGTGCAGTCAAACTGCCAGTAAGGAACAGATGAAGGTCGATCTTGCCTTGCATGCTAATGCCACCCCAAACCATAACAGATCCACCACAGTATTGGTCATGTTGGGAAACGTTAGCGGCATGGAACCTCTCATTTGGTAGTCGCCACACCCTGGCACGTCGGTCAGTGAAATCTAAGCAAAATCTAGACTCGTCTGTAAAAAGACGGGGGACCAGTCATGGAGGTTCCAATTCACATGATCACGAACCCAAGCAAGTCTAGCTTGAACATGTCGTAACGTCAAAGGAATTCTCACAGCAGGTCTGCGCGACCTTAAATCAGCATCATGAAGTCTATTTCTCACAGTTTGTGTGGAGATACGAGTTCCGGTGGCATTCTGGAAGTCATTACGTAGTGACGTAGCGTTGATGAACCTTTGACGTCGAGCTGCAATAACAAGATAGCGGTCTTGACACTGCGAGGTAAGTCTTTCCCGACCCCCACCATGTCTTCTGGAAACAGTTCCATAATTTTGGTAACGATTCCACATACGGGACACAACACTCTGGGGCACACCAAGGTCATTGGCCACCTCCCTTTGTGACCTACCAGACTGGATCATACCAATGCCCCTGTCCATATCTGAAGTGCTTATACCTCTTCTATCCTGCTGTCGAGACATTTTGAAACCATTAAAATTCAAAATGTAAAGCAAAAAGCGAGATATTCTGCCACTTGGGTATTGATGACAATCTGCATGTAGGAGGCTCGTGCATGCACACGTGAAGTGTAGGCGTTACAGGTGACTTAACACATAAACACCCGATACACATAGACCTTGGTACAGATATAAATCAACAAATATAAGGAATACGTATTATTTTATTTTAAAAGAAAATTTTGTTAATTATTAGGTGTGATCCCTATCAAATTGTGAGTAGTATAGTTAGATATAACGTGTCTTCAAACAAGAAATATGAAAGTAGAGGAAGATTCAGTGAAATGTTTGTGACCTAAAAATCACTAATGCACTAGGTTCCTTGCTTAAACAAGCTTTTATAAGCTTTAACGATACTGTATGACATCAGTATTACAGCTACAGGACCTTTGGTTTACTGAACTTAAGCTTTAACGGAACTGTATGACATTAGTTTTACATCAACAGGCCCTTTGGGTTACCAGACTTAAGGTTTAACCATACAGTATGACACCAGGTTTAACCATACAGTATGACACCAGGTCTAATCATACAGTATGACACAGGTTTAACCATACAGTATGACACCAGATACACAGCTAATTGTGGAGATCTGATATTTTCTATTTGCTTCAATTATTTCACCTTTCAGTACATGTAGTTTTAATTTATAAGATGTTGGTTTGGAGGTTTGCATTAGTTTAATTAACACCATTTAGCTGTTTAGTGATGTAGACACTAGTGTTAAGATACCTTTTAGTTTGTTTGATGTTATGTCCTTTTGGATCGTTGTGTCTTTCACTGGTTGATGGCCCTAATGACCTTTTATGTGTTGACGGGCCGTTAAGAATGTCATAGTGTAATGTAAAGACACTAGAGTAAGGGTGGTTCTTTAAGTCAACTTTATTCACTATTGTTTTGATAATATGATAAATATGCAAGGCAATTGTACCCATAGTCATAAATAAAGCATTCAAGGTAATTTCATTGTTAGTGATGGTCTCAGCTAACGCAGTAAACCTTTGTCTATCACCTGAGAGCTAATAACGGACTAGAAATCTGTAATTGTGGATGTTAGTATTCTATATTGGTCAGTAAGATGTGACTGTTGTGATATCTGTATGACATGCTGGATATATAGTCAGTGGTATCCATATAGTATTACCTCTTCTCAACATCCAACAGGTCCTACAACTGCCACAAAATCTATCTAATGAGAAATCTTTACACGTTGGAATCAGGTTTTTTTCTCAGAAATCACAAATGCCTTTCAGTCATTCTCATCACTGTGATGGTATTCCTGGAAAGAGGTTGTAGGTGTTAGACTCAAATTTTATTTAGGCTTATATTGTAAATGTGCAAATAAACATAAGAAATCCAGGATGTCATGATTTTAGATTTTATTTATTCTCATTACAAATATGTTTTGCTTTCATACATTTACAATTTTTTATTAATATATATCCATAACTTCATGTACCAATATTTTAAGAAAACATTCAAAGATGTTATGTATTTAAATGCCCATATTTACATTTAATGGACTTGTGTCCAAAATTCATGTTCCTATTATGGACGTGTTGATTTCTCATCCTGACATTGAATGATTAACTGCTGAAACTTAGTGCCAATGTTGCTCATTTTATCTGCGACAACAAAACCTCAATATAATTGCGAGGATGTGAGTGATATTAATGACTGCCTGTGTAAGATGATAAAAGTATCTCATAATTATGCAATGACTGTTATCATTTCTTGTAAAAATTGTATGTATGACATATTTGACCAAGTCTGAGAATTCCTTATTATTTATGTAGTGATGTTGATGGACATGTAATGACTCATCTTTGAAGTAAAAATAGTCTCATCTAATTATTCATTTCCTGTCTGTACACCTGGAATAAGTCAAAGTTTTGTAGTTTGCCATTCATTTTTTGTTTTTCCAGACAAAGGTTTCTTTTAAATAGTAAGAATGATCCTATTTTGTAAAGGCAAAATAGAAATGTACACCTGAATAAGTTTATAAGAACTTTTCTGCAGTACTATGTGTAACATTAATCAAATAGATATCTATATCCCTGTTATGATTCTTCATCTGCAAACCTGATACATGTATATACTAAGTCTGAAAAAATAAAGGGTACACCAAGAGTAAAACTAGGAGTAATTAAAGATAATGTTGACTGTCAATCACCAAATCTATAATTAAAGTTAAAAAAGTATACATCATATAGAGTATATTGTATGAGTTTCCATTTCATTTGAGATTTTTGTAATAATTATGAGACTCAAACTAAGATAAATAAAAATATGGTGAGGAGTTTACTAAAACTTGATATGAAATTGAAACAAATGAAAGATTCTGTCACTTATCTTTCTAGATACTTTTGCAAGCATGCATGAAATTAGATCAGAAATGGTGTTATTCTCGCTCATTTCATTTTTCTTTGGTGACATCACAATACACCTGGTGACATCACAACAGAAGCAATAGAAACATTTGTCAGTCTCAGCTCCATGAGTTCTAATCTTTGTCATAACACAATTTATGTTACTAAACCGTGTTCAATCACGATTCTGCTAAGTTTTATCACAAGTGAGATGTGATAACAGGGTTGCTATATGTTAAATGTATATTTCATTATTTATAATGTTTTTCGTCTCCCAGGAGACAAAAATATTGACATTAGTGAATGGAGATAATTATCATTTTAGTTTGTTTTTGTTAGATAAATACGTTACACAAGTGTGCACATTGTCACTTACACATCGCACATTGTCACTCACATGTAAGTTATCAGTCCTTGGTATAACTGGTACAGTGTTACATCTGTAACATTTAGTTTATCATCCTCTGTTAGTTGATATAGGTATCCACATAAAATCTGTTTTTGTTTGGTCAGGATAATAACAAGTTAAAGTAGTAGTCATGAATGAAGTTACATAGCCATTGTAAAGCCTGCATTGTCTCGATCCAAAAGTTGAGAATCTCATTAAAGTAACCTTAATTGATAACCATAACCGTTGATAGGACGTTAAGCAATATGAAAATAATTCAATCGTCTCAACATATTAGAATTAATGAAAAAAGTTGATTACTAAAGTGTTTTTAGGTTATGAATTACTAAAGTGTTTTTAGGTTATGAGTTACTAAAGTGTTTTTAGGTTATGAATTACTAAAGTGTTTTAGGTTATGAATTACTAAAGTGTTTTTAGGTTATGAATTACTAAAGTGTTTTAAGGTTATGAATTACTAAAGTGTTTTTAGGTTATGAATTACTAAAGTGTTTTTAGGTTATGAGTTACTAAAGTGTTTTTAGGTTATGAATTACTAAAGTGTCTTTAGGTTATGAATTACTAAAGTGTTTTTTAGGTTATGATTATACTTAGTGATGGGAGACTTACAGGTTCACAGTGATGATATTAAAGCTATGTAGGTATTATTTATATAACACGATCTGCCTGTTACTGCCATTGTTTTGTTTGCTGTATATTTGTACTGCATAACGTTTGTTTTGTTTGTTTTTGATTTGTTTTATTTTACACAACATGAATGAAATAAATGGTTTTAAAAATGTAAAATAGGGTCATAGCGTATTTGTGTTTATGCTTTTGAGTACGAGGTGTTGATATAACTGTGTATACAGTGGTCAGACTGTTGAAGTCTGTCATGACATCATCAAATTTTCTAGAGTTGGATATGTTCTATCTTTTATGGTAACTTAATCTTAACACTTTAGCCCTCTGTTGAACAGAATACCAGAAAGGGTCTGTAAGTGGCTTGTGAAAAACAATAGTTTTGAACTAATAATCCAGAAGTTGGAGATAAATGAAACAGAGAGTGTGAAAATTCCTAAAACTAATGAACCTATCATAGGCATTTTCATTCTCTGGTTATGAAATGTTTTTTCTCTCTATCCAAAGGAAAGTGGACAACAATACAAGTATTAAGCATTGAACTAGGTTTTTTCTCTCTATCCAAAGGAAAGTGGATGGCAGTACAAGTATTAAGCTTTGAACTAGGGTTTTACTCTTTATTCAAAGGAAAGTGGACAGCAGTTCGAGTATCAAGCTTTGAGCTAGATGCCAATGGCAAAATCTGCTGAAAAGTATGTCGAGAGCCAAGAAGAATAAGGCAGAGAAGGAATTGTTGTTATACTCCTGACATTATCAGAGGAGTGTGTAGTTGCTGCTTTGTCTGGATGTCAGTCTTTTCATCCATCTTTTTGTGTCTGAAGCATAATTCTGCCCACAGTAAAGCAAGGATCATGAAATTTTGTGTATACTTTGGTCATACTAAGATGATGTACAGTTTATGTAATCAAAGGCCCACAACCCCTTAATTACAGAATTATTATTCTTTTTAAAATTGCATTCAAATTGGAATAATGAAACTTGCTGTATAAATTGGTTTTACTAAGACAATGTGCAATTTACCAAAGTCAAGGCCAACAAATAAAGAGTTATTGCCCTTTGTTAAAATTTCTTGTTTCAACTGTAACTTTAATTTGCTTCTATTTATAGATTGATCATACTAAGACAATGCGCGATGGACAAAAGTTGGGGCTCACAATCTTTTAATTACAGAGTTATTGTCCTTTGTTTAAATTTTTGACCTCAGATCAAAACTTTGCTCACATTTATACACGGACAATGAAATTTGAAGTATGTATTGGCTGTACAAAAACAATATGCCGTGTACCAAGGTAAAGGACCTGCGACATCTAAATAACAGACTTATTGCCCTTTATCTATAAAAGGCTGTGTCCACAGCATACTATTGCTTGCATTTACATTAGGATAATGAATGAAACCGGGTGCATTCATCTGTCATATAGGATCATGTGCAGTGTATGAATGTCCGTTACCCTTAATTACAGATCTTGTCCCTATAAGTTGTTTTTTGGTGAGTATTCATCAGTTTCACTGTGTTCTCATTTGAGAAAGTGACATTTCTTAACTTGGATTGACCAAGATTTCATGGCGAATGTAGTCGATGAAGAAGAAGACGTTTACTCACCCGGAACACCTGGTCTTATTATCCTTGTACTTTTACGGAGTGTCTGTGTATTTTTTTTTTTTTTTTTTTGTTCTTTTTTATGTTTTAATGAATTTGAGTTTGGATTATGATTATGTTGATATGATGGTAATTTTGTTGCTTCTGACTAACAAATACTTCCTTGAATTTGGTGGCACGATCGCCTAGTATATTACTGACATATTGATGAAACAAAATGTGCTCCTTGATTGGTTGAATGTTAATCTAAACGATCACAAATACCTAGCCAAGTCTTTCTGGTTTCACGTTTAGGTATATAGAGGTTGTCTTGTTCATCGAGTACTTCTACCGTGATAAGAAATCACCACCGACTCCATTGACAACTTACCTTTTCTTTTTACATTTAACGAAATCAATACACAGTATGTTACTGAAGTTTTCTGGTGATTCTGTTAAGGATGTTAACATCATGGAGATCTACCTGAATTTTTTTTTTTTTTTGCTATATGGAGGTGAACCTTTTTGATAGTCGTTAGTTTGCCTGTTGGTTCCGTTGTTTTCACTTGATAACGTGACATTACTTACTTGGATTGACCAACGTTAAAATGGCAAGTGTCGTCGATGAAGCAGAAGACACTAACTCTTCCGGTACACATGGTCTTATTCTTTTTGTACTTTTCCATAAGTCTTTCTTCTATTTATTTTTGTCAAAGTTTTATTGAACATAAGTTTGGATTATGATTATGTTGACTTGTTGGTTTTTTAAATTTTTAAAAAAAAATTTTTTTAACTTGATCTCCTTTGAGATCATAAAACGTACGTACTTGTATTTCAGGTGTCATCGATGGAGGAAGTAATTATCTGGAACATCTTTTCTTAATCATGTACGTGTATTGATCTCCATGTAAACATTTCTTTTTTTTCACATAATTTGCTTTTCTTTAGCGAGTTTTTTGTAAACCTATAAATATCATTTTTTTTCGAGACGCAATGGTCGCTAAGAAGATAAATCGGTTTGACAGTAGAAACTATTGGGATAAGTCAACAGGTTTTGATTAGAAATCTATAACAGACAACTCGAGTGTACGTAACACTGTTATCTAGGTTGACAATACTAGGTTACCTACAAGACAGTATTATGCAGTGTCATTCTCCTGTTATTGGAGGCCTCTACCTGTGGTATGACATCAACATTAAGGTAAGCTTTACCTCTCGTTTTAATGTCAAGGATCAAATCTCACAATATCAACATTATAACATGTCGGCTATTTCTTTAAAACGTCACTAAGCAGGTAAGGTAACCGTTAATTGTATATAATCGTCGTGTGGTTCATAACAATAGGGGGAAGGGAGATTCCGATAATTTTTATATATATGTATAGATATAAACATACTTAGCATGAATGGTTGCTGCACGTTTCTATATCACACAGGACCTTATATCATTGGAACTTACTGCTACTGGTGCTACATATATTTAACACGGATGTTCTTATTGTTTAGTTTAGTAACAACTTGTTTTTTGCTGAGATGGTCCTCAGAGTTTCTCTATCACGGTTGATCTAGTTTAACTGAATTGAGACAAGGTCTGATTTAACGACATTCAATTCACGTCAAAAGATGACACGTGTTGATGTCAATGAACTCAAGAAATTAATTCATCAGCGATAATGTCAACGTAGCTAGAAACACTATAAATCTGGTAGATACTGTTTTCCTCATCCTGATATAGGGACTGAAAGAAAACCTTATCTTGATGAAGGGAACTGATTGGAACTTATATAGCATAGAAGGACAATAACGCTGACAAATGTATTATTACATATCAGTAATACAACAGATACAGCATATCGCCAATTCACGCTAACAACAGGGCCTCGTGACCTAGGCCGATTATGTTTCCGATCTTGACTTTCCAAATTCAGTGGCAGAGAAACACGATATATTGGAAGAGTAAAAAATGAAAATAAGAAGAAAAATATATATACTGAGTCATATTTTACAAAAGTAGGAAGGTAACAATACGAAATGGTCAAGGAGGGTTGTTATCAGTTTCATCGGCGATGTTAGCGAAATAAGTCAAGGTCTGGAATCCAAGTAATGTCATGTTCTAAAAGTAAGAGCCAGGATAATGGAACCAAAATGAACATGCATGAGGTTCGGGATAACCCAAGAACATATGAGAAGTGAAACGTTGTCAACAATATTGTGACGACAACCACAAAACTTTCCCATAATATTATCAATCCGCATCTCCTGAATCTTAATTAACTATCCTAATTTTTGGAGAATTGACACTAGATTAATTTTAGAGTCAACTGAATTTTCTTTGTCTCCGCCGAGGAAAAATCTTAATCGACTGCACTGTATTGAAATGTAAGTTAAAAGGGTTATCACTTTATTTGTTTTAGAAACATTATCATTTGTTCGAAAAGAAAATACCGACGTGGTAAACGATTCATGGTCAAACTCAAAATGAGACTTTAGCAAGATATGAACAATGAAAGATTTACATGTAGATTAAGACCTGTTAATTTACTGCAAGACACCTGCCTTGTAATTCTTGGTCAGTCTAAGTAAATAATGTCAAGTTTCCAATATTAATGAGATCAAAGTAAAACGCTATCGGAACCAACTGTGAAACTAACGAGCATCAAACATGTCTAACTTCATATCACATAAAGAAATAGAATATTTCCCAATAAGATCACTATGCCGACTGTAAAACGTCCTTATAATCTTTATCAACTGGCATCTCTCGACAGCCTGATATGTCGAGAGTTTTTCTCTCGGTTGCCGACATTTCGCTGTGATCAAGATCATGAACAATTATATTGAATATGTCAAAAGTATAAGTTGTGGAGCAGGATGTCGCTCTTCTAAAATGGAAAATGTATACATTGTTGTTACATTACTAATTGCTGATGGTAGACACTGCTGGTGGACTTTAATACCGACGGTTTTCCGTAACCTGCACGCAAAATTTAAATTCACTTTAATAGTGACACGATCCAAAACATGCACTTCACGTTCATTTGAAATATTCAAAAGAAAAAAGAAAAAAAAAAAATAGAATTGAATTATTGGGCTATTTTAACTTCCCGTTCACAGAATATCACATCTATTTCCGCCTATTTTTGAATATCAGTACTTTATTACTTATCAATTATTAAACTTTGTTAATTTCACATAAACTGCGAAACCAGTTTTTGTTGGCCCTGGTGTATATGCGTTAGTGGTCGTACTGTAAAAGGAAACTGGAGTGCCCGAGGGGAACCCCCGTTGTCGGGCAGGTAACCCCATACCTTTTCACTTTCCTGATATCGAACCCCGGACGGCTAGGTGAAAGGTGAGTGCTTTACCACTGCGCCATCCGGCCACCCAATTTGATATCAATATAGTAGGCATTAGTACATTCCAAAGTATGTCCTTTTTTGCTGACCAGTTGGTACGTGATTAGGGTCTTACTGTTGAAGGAGAAGAGTATAAAGGAAAACCCACGTGACCGAGAAGGTAATCCCTTACTTGTCCATGCTGATTATCCGAAAGTCTCGATAAAAAGCCATTGCGTTACCACTACGCCATCCTTACACCCCAGGTCATCATAGTAGCATCTGCATTATATGTGTGGCCCTGCTGTATCTTATTTTGAATTTGTATGAAAATATCCTCGAAATATCAGGGGCAACAATCACTAACATTTTAGAGATCATTGGTCAGAAATGAAAATCAGTGTGTCTTTTGTACAATATTTTAAACTGATACAGTTCTATAACTGCTAATATACTCTATGCGTAGAAATAGTTTGAAGTCACAATCTATTGAATGTTTGACTATTTCCGTTTTATAGAACAATGACGAAAACGCATACAGCTGACACGGAGGGTCATGGAGAGGAAGATGTACCTCTTCGGGAAATTCTTGATGGAGTGTCTCCTGTCAGTTCTGGGGATAAAACATCTAGTCCATCCTTCTTTCATGAAGTTCAATGGAACAAGAGCACCAGATTCAAACTCATCCTCAGTGTATGTCTGTCCATGGTATACTTCATCTTGGTAAGAATGTACTCCATCCTGGTAAAATGTACTTGTCCTTGTTATGAATGTCATTGATTCTAGACACAGTAATATCGTACCTTTCCAGTCAATATCTTATTATATATATCAGATAATAGTTCCATTGATGTTTAGTTACATGTTTTCCATATTACGTGTGGGAATGTCGAGAAAAAAGGTCGGAGTATATTTCTTAATACGCCGTCGTTCATCACACGAAACTGGTGAGCGTCTTCTCGCTTCGAAGTTCACTTCGTCTTGCTATTGGCGTTGTCATTGTCGGAAACACTTGCCATGTTGTATATTTGAACGCATGCATTGATTCGCCACAATCACTGATGTAATCAAATACTTCATTTAAAAAGTATCAATAACTGTTTAGATGAGTGATTTTGTAGGTCATAATGAACATTTTTATTGACGAAAATCCATAGAATAAAAACAGGTTTGAAACTATTTCTGCGCGGAGCAGTTAACTTCACTGTAAATTCAACATCAGGTAAGCACAGGCTTAACATCAAACTAGTCGTCTAAAATTACAATCGTTGTTGTAGGAATATAATATGGGAAGTGTCTTAAAATAAGCTGTATCTGGGTTGGGTACAGTAAGACAAAGCTGCTCACCACATTTGTCTTTTTACCCCTGCTAATATATATATATATTGGCCATGTATTTTCTATATACCTCGTACATTTGACTATCCGATGCTAGTAGACAGTGCAGTATGTAGGTAGATAGATAAACCTGAGGCTGTGCCGGTATTTTTTCTCCTTATCAATTTAACATCACCACATTCATATAATCTAACTTATGTTATTCATGAATAAAATATTTTTTTCTTGAAGGGATGGTCAAAATCACAGATAGGACCAGCGTTTTTAGATCTAATGATAATATCTGGAGCCAATTTAGAGATGGGATCTTGGTTCATGACGTCATATTTCCTGGGTCGTTTGATTGGGTCAACAGTTGGAGGCTATCTATACACAAGGCGGAACCATTATCTTCTGTTTGCAGCTTCCGTAACAGTAAATGGGCTGATTCTGGCCGCTATTCCGTGGTGTACGTATTATAAGCTGATGATCGCAGCACATGCTTTCAATGGTGTTTTTGAAGGAATAATGAACCTCAGTAAGTATTAAATTGCCATTGTAAGTACTACTGTTAATCACTTAGTTTTCGCGAATACTTCATTTCACGAACATGCATCTTCAGACATATTCGCGAACGTTGATCTAGAAATGACTCTAAATTCGCAAATGATGGGCTTTTGAATATATATCGGTCACTGAATCAATATGGAGGTCTTCAAGATTTATTTCCTTACAAATTTTCGCGACGGATTTGAATTCGCGATTGACTCTTCTCGAAAATAAATCCTTCGCATAATATAATTGATTTACAGAATGATACATGTGATTTTAATCTATTTAAATTACATCTTTCATCTTTGCGATAACAAAACAAATCTCTGTTATTCTCTGAAATCTATTCATATCAAAATTGATAAAGTGCAATGAAATAGAAACAAAATAAAAACCATTGACTAGAAACATTCTTGCCTTACTCTAGTATAATTTCCTATGCAATCACAACGTTTCATGTTTAAAATCACTTTAATGCTATTTGTTTACCACAATTCTAGATTTTGCTGTGACGTAATTAAAATTATCCGTAATTTGTTTCCTATCTTTCTACTGATTAGTTTTCTCTATTCATTTCTATTCATTTCTTTGTATTTAGCACTGACGTCTAAAGCAGTATCAGTGTGGGGACCCACAGCCAGAGGGCGTTCCTATATCCAGATAATGTACGCCATTTTCGCCTTATCTGGTATCATTGCTCCAGTTGTGACTGCACCGTTTCTTCTATCAAATTCACACAAAAATCCTAATATAACTTCATTGACAAATCAATCCAATTCACAAAATAATCATGACATGACTGTAGGAACAATTGAAGCAATTTCACCGAAAAAGGATAATATGACATCATGGACAAATGACACTATGAGTGACATGGGCGAATATTTCCTGGGCTACAATGATACTATGAGGAAAGCGAGAATTCCAGAATACCACACTTCTAGATTGTATGTAGCATATTCAATTTCAGCATTGATAACTGTATCAACCTCAGTTCCATTCATCATTTTGTTTTTGAAATCCAAGCACAGCGTCATTCTGGATGCAGAAATCGTGAAACCAGTGTATATAGGGAATCTCAAATTACTTTTAAAACGACTACAGTTCCTCAATATAGGAATATTTTCAGCAATGTTTAGTGTAATTGGTCAGACTATGGGCAACTTTATAACTGTGTTCTGTGTTCAGCATCTAAAATGGACCAAAGTGTCTGGTGCTATGATGACTTCGTTCTATGTGTTTGCCACCCTTGTTGGTAATATAGGGGGAATATTTCTAGTCCGATTTCTTAAATCACACACCATTTTACTGTCGTCTACCGTAACTTACACTGTAGGGTTGATTGGGCTGGGTATATGTGCCCACCTGTATGCAGACGTCGGTATCTGGCTATCGGTCTGTATTATCGGTGTTCCGTTTGGGATGATCTGGCCAACTTTTATAAGCTGGACTAACTCCTACCTTATACCCGTGTCTGGATATGTAACAAGCTACCTGCTTGTGACTGCGCATGTCGCTACAATGCTACACCCACTGGTAATCAGCTATCTGATGGAAGAGGTGTCGCTGTTATGGTTTTCTTACCTTTGTGTTATTGAGGGTTGCATCAGTATAATGTCTGTAATAATGATGGCGATATACACAAATATTTCAAAAGTACATAAACAAAAATGTCCTCATTCTTAAATGCACTTCATATTTTTCCATTATATGTTTTCAGTTTCGTATAAAGCTGACCTAAATATTGTAGAAATTGATTGAAATATGACCGATATTTCTTTGAGTTTGGTATGTATGTCATGTTCCATCAATATTTGAACACCTTGTTCCTATTGCATCACCTGTATTCAATGTTCTTGTTATGTGTATCTGTTTGTTAATTCTATTTTGATCCGATTAGTGATGATCCTTGCGGCAAGATTATAATGAATGCGTCTTGATTGCTTAACAACTCATGTTTTGTGAACTAGTAAAACATGAACCAGGTTATCATTCTTTGTATGTGAGTCGATGGTGAAATGAAATGATACACAAACCATACAGCAATGCTGGTGTAAGACGTACTGAACTACTAAATGTAAGTTATTCTACAAGATACAGATGCTGGAATACTATCCAAATTATTGGTCAGAACAATATCATTCTGAATTGGATGATCGTTTAATTTTAACGCAATTCTATCCAAAAAATCGTCATATTGCTGTTTTGTCTGTTTCACCAAGCACAGACAATTGACCTTCAAAATTTATATATCAGTACGTCTTAGTTCTTGACCTTCGAAATATTTTCTTTTCTTGTTATTGTTAGCGTAAACTATAATTTGTTTCGCAATTGTTGTAAAATAAATAAAATTTATATTTATACCCAAATAAAAATAATGTGGTCTTCAAAGAAAGTCGAGAAATATAACGCGTTTTTTGACGTCGGTGAATTTCAATGCAGTGAAGAGAAAGCACCGAACCAGTGAATCATTATCAGTGATCTTTAATGATAAAATTCCTATATTTCAGTGGAAAAAAGTAGTGAAAAGTGCTGTATAACCATATTAGAATGGTTAGAATCTGTCACTCAGATTCTATATAAAAAAAATTGGTTTTGTTTAATGATGAAATCAACCAACATTCTTTTGATACCTGTGTAAGTTAGAATCTGTCCCCAATAACTTAGATTCTATATAAAAAATTGGTTTTGTTTAATGGTGAAATCAACCAACATTCTTTTGATACCTGTGTAAGTTAGAATCTGTCGCCAATAACTTAGATTCTATATAAAAAATTGGTTTTGTTTAATGATGAAATCAACCAACATTCTTTTGATACCCGTGTAAGTTATCTCCATGTTGTACTTGGGATTACACTCCCATTTTTAGTCAAACGAACTGCAGAATAAAAAAAATGATTAAACCTCCTGTGAACCCCAATACCAGTACGTTGTTTTATGATCGTGTTAAAGCTAAGAAGCTAGAATCAGTGGGCGGATCACCATTTATACAAAGTTGACACCCCTTAGTGCGGTCATTCGTGTTTCGCTTAAGGATTTTTATCAGTCGGACTTTTTGACTCGCTTATTTTACACGATTTCTGTCGATTTAATTTCCTTGTTTTATTTGTATACTATTTAAAAAAAAATACGAACTTAAACTCTACAGTAAGTAACTCTTCCGTCAGGAAACATAAAATACCAGTTTAGATAAGCATTATCACTGTTAATGACATTTTATTCCAATGAGGGTTAGCACGTATGCTTCTACAACAACGCCAGCAACGGAAGCTTTTTATTTAGTATCCAATCATTCTGGGTTTTTTTTTTAATTCCATAGAATCTTGGGCAATTGATTATATTCCCAAAATGTCATAAAATATCTTGCTTACTACATTTTCATTGAAACGTATGTCGACACAAACAGAAGAATTATGCACAGATATGTAGATATTCTCGCCGAAGTGACAAAATAAATTCCCATTTTCCCTGAGGTGAATCTTGTCTAGTGTCTTTCTGGGTAACGTTGAGGGTGACGGCCGAGCAATTGAAGTGAATTCCTTTACTATAGTTACAGTGTGAGGAAAAGTTTTACGAAACAGTCCTTTCCATGCCTGTACACTTGTAAAGATTGACATAATGTTGGTAAGCCTCGACGTCTTATTGACTTCGGGTTAATAGTTCATTACCCATCCGGTTAATATTTTCTTATTTCCTACTGGTTAATATTTTGTTTTCTCTTCCCTATTCGTTTGCTTATGGGTCTTAGTTGATTTTCTCTTCTGTATTATCCAATGATCCTTCTTCGCAATTTTCCTACTTGTTTTCAAATGATTGTTGTTGTTGTTGATGTTGTTGTTGTTGTTGTTGTTGTTGTTGTTGTTGTTGTTGTTGTTGTTGTTGTTGTTGTTGTTGTTGTTGTTGTTGAACATCTCCCTGCTCCTCAGCTTCAACCATTTGGGTGTCTTCATCATCATGTTCGTCCTCCGTTTGTTCTTCCTTATATTGTACAGGGATACTTGTAACAGGTGCCCTTGAAGTAAACTCTTCTGTTTAAAAGAGAATGCTCCAAGAAAAATATAAATCATAACTAATTCTATGGGGTTAACTATCATCATTGTTTCAATATAACATTTTATGTTTTAAGTTGAAATGTCGTTTTAAAGATTTTCAGGTAGAATATGTTTTCTTACACCAGGTGAGCTGAAAATACTGGTTAAGTCATAAGGATTCGAAAAACTGTATTTTGAACGTTGCTTAAAAAGATACAGAAATGGCATATAAACAAAAATGATGACGTCACAAGCTCCAATGACGATAGTAATAATGCAGGTAATTGTTTTAACTCGTTGAATTATATTAAATATTGTCTTTTTTCTCTAAGTTTCGTCTGTTGTTACCTGTTTGCTACATTTGATAATTTCTCCCCTAGTGGCGCGAATAGGAACATATTCTCGTTTTTTACATAATAGTTCAATATATTACCATTTGGGATTAATGCACTTCCCCATTTGTTTGTTTGTTTGTTTTTTAAAATTTTTTTTGAACTTTGACAAGTCAAGTTCTAGGCTTTAATACTTTAGATCCTTACTATCAATGGCGGGTCTTAGAAGGATGGTAAAGTTCGATTTTATGTTTGGGTCAGGATAGGTATTTATATTCTCACAAATCAGTGAGAGTTGCTTCCCCTGCTTCAATCCCCTGGTATTGGTGGTGTTACACGGGGATACTTCTCAGGACAATTTGTTTTTATTGCACATGACTCATATATATCTGATAATATCTATCGTAATGTTCCACAGGATTCTACAAGTACACATATCTCCCAGAAGGTAACGAAACGGGAGAAAAATACACATTATAGTAAAAAAAATCAATTTAAAAAAGAAAAACGATTTAACAATTATTTGATGTGTACATCTTTTATTGCCAAGAAAACAAGTAAATGGATTGGACACAATTTATTACAACTTCGATAAAAACAAGAAAGATGAAATACGAAATATGTTTCCTATAAGTTTCGTTTTAAGATTGTTCTCCTTATTCACAGACATGAAAATACAGTAACAATTATTTCAGAATAAATTAAAATCTATTGCTGGAAAGTTACTGTTTCCACAAAGAAGGAGATCGATAATCTATATTGGCATCCAGTGTATTGAGGCTCTGAAATAGTATTCGCTTCTGATGATCAAACTTTGTACAGTTGATAAAGAAGCGATAAGAATTGAAGGTGGAAATGAGGAGTTTGCGCCGGAAAGTCTATAGTTGGGGATTAACAATCGAATTTGTTTTGTAACGGGTATCAGGTATTTTGTACCAAAAGCTTGTGACAGGATAGAATCTAATTAGGTTGTTTTTCATTTTGTATAGAAGGCAGAGATTACGTCGTTTCCTCCTTTCAAAGAGTGACTGTAATCTAATGTAGAACTGATACAAAAGAAAGAGGAGAAATATTTCCTACTTTCCAGAAAACGTGTTTTGAAGCCTCGGCGTCACGTTAAAATAGCAAAACATAAAGCATAAAGCTTAACCCGTTTTCTGCTGTGGGTATCACTCCATTGGACCCAATGACACTGACCGATCGTCACGTTTTATGAATTTTAACGATAAGATACGTCTAAAAAGTGAAACAAAAGCACGTGCCCGGCATCCCAAGACTAATTTATTCTGCGATGCAACATTGATAAAAAAAAAACAACAACAAAAAACGATGTCAGAACCCCAATAGGCACATCTGATATTCTTCAACTGTAAATTAATTTTATGTGAGTAATGTTTAACGTTAATGTGACTTATGGCTATGTTGTCGACATGTCCTGTTGTTCAGAAGTTTACCAATATTAATGATTGTGAAACGCTCTATGAATGATTATGAACAGTTTTGAAGGTCACATAATTAGATACGATAGGAACATTGATATGGTGTAGAGGAAATTAAATCTGGTATCTTTGTTATATGGTTTGTCTTGGTAATTTTTGTTTTGACATATTTTGATAGTTACAAATGCAGTTTGTGTGGAATAATTTCCAACTTGGCCCCCTGTATGTAATTGTATTATAAACAATTAACCATAATCTGATACGACTTTCCAGTCTATACATAATGCAATAGTCATATTTGTAAACAATAGATCTCATTCAATACGTAGTCAGATGCAGCTGGGGTATACTTTCAATGCAATAACTGTTAGGAATATTCGCTACACTAAGTGTTATGAAGTTCACATACCCAGACTGACTGGGAGTTACACAATGGATGTATAACACCCGGGGGATTGAGTAATATATCGCATCATCAAACACAGACAGGTATATAAATGCAGACAGTTAATTGGGTATTTGAAATAGAATGGTTATGAACGCTACAACTGTATAAATGTTAAACGTCAGATAGGCGTTGATAAAAGTAATTTGTTGAAGCTGACTGTCGAACAGTGAATCGTTAATTTATTATTGACAACCAAACCAGAACAGTGAATTGTTAATTTAATATTTCACATATTGCCAGATGCAGGTGTGTCAGCGAAAAAAAATCTTCAGTTGTCTTAATGATTGGCATTAATTAAACTGCCGTATGCTGAGGAGACTTAACACGACATGGACGTTTCTTATTGAGTATACTTTCGTTTGGAAAAAAATATCTTTTTACATATTGTCTTTATAATATAATCCGAATTCTTCATGGAGTGTCAGATCAACAATAA